GAGCAAGACTTCTGTCTCAAAATAAATAAATAAATAAACAAACAAACAAATAAATAATACAAAAATAAATAAAAATAAAGTTGGAACACTAAACTGAATAGTCAGTAACACTGGGATCAATTCTCAGAACTGCTACAAGAAAAAAAAGGCATATTTCTTTCAAAGATTAGAGTACTTAATAAAATCATTAATACATTATAAATTCCTGCCTTAACTCCTTTCTTTAAGAAAACTGAGGGAAATTGACAAAGCAAGTCGGTAACATGATTTTTCCTATCATTTCACCGGCTATGAGGGCATGCTTGTTTTGTTCCCCATTGTTGTCCAGTTCTTAGACACAAAGAGGGTGGGTGCTAAGCAAATACTGATTAAACACATGGATTGGTGTTTTCGTTTCAACAACTGATCATGACTGAGTACTGTAGAAGGAAAAGCAAAAATCTCAGGAACATATAAAGTAACCAATTCAATGAGATGGGTCTGAAAGATCAGGGAAGGTTTGAAGGGGAGCTAAGATGAATCTTAATAAATGAATAAGACAGGTGGAGAATAGCAGAAAAGGGTGGAAGAAAAGTACTTAAAAAGGAGCCAGCCTAAGGCCGGGCACAGTGGCTCACACCTGTAATCCCAGCACTTTGGGAGGCCGAGCCAGGCGGATCACCTGAGGTCAGGAGTTTGAGACCGGCCTAACCAGCACGGAGAAACCCTGTCTCTAATAAAAATACAAAATTAGTCAGGTGTGGTGGTGCATGCCTGTAATCTCAGCTACTCAGGAGGCTGAGTCAGGAGAATCGCTTGAACCTGGGAGGTGGAGGTTGCGGTGAGCTGAGATCACACCATTGCACTCTAGCCTGGGCAACGAGAGCGAAACTCTGTCTCCAAAAAAAAAAAAAAAAAGAAAGAACTAGCATAAACATAAGCACAGAAGCAAGAAAATACACAGCATTTAGAGACTAGCCAATTGTCTGCTGAGGCCAAAAGACAGGGTGTGAGGAAGATACACTGGAAATACGGAGCCAGAACTGGGAAAACGACTGCTTTTCTAAAGAGTCTGAACTTGAGTTTACATGTCACAGTGTAAGAAATGAATGAAAAAACAAAGATAATGATTCTAGCTAGGAGGCTATTCCAACAGACTATGTATGGAAATGAAGGCATGATGAACCTGAAAAATGTCATGTCGAGTGAAAAAAACCAGAAGCAGACCACATATTGTATGATTCCATTTATATGAAATGTCCAGAAATGGCAAACCTATGGAGACAGAAAGTAGATCAGTGGTTATCTGGGGCTGGGGGTGTTAATGGGGTAGGCACTGCAGATGAGCAGAAGAGGTTGTCCGGCAATGGAAATATTCTAAAATTGGATTGTGGTGATGGTTATACAACTATCTAATTTACTAAAACCACTGAATTTGAATTGTACCTTTTTTTTTTTTTTTTTTGAGATGGAGTATCACCCTGTCTCCCAGGCTGGAGTACAGTGGCGCGATCTTGGCTCACCGCAACCTCTGCCTCCCAAGTTCAAGTGATTCTCCTGCCTCAGTCTCCCGAGCACCTGGGATTACAGGTGCACACCACTATCCAGCTAATTTTTGTACTTTTAGTAGAGACAGGGTTTCACCATGTTGGCCAGGCTGGTCTTGAACTCCTGACCTCAGGTGATCCGCCCGCCTCAGCCTCCCAACGTGCTGGGATTACAGGCGTGGGCCACCATGCCTGGCCCTTTTTTTTTTTTTTTTTTGACACATAGTCCTGCTCTGTCAACTAGACTGGAATACATTGATGCAATCTCAGTTCGCTGCAACCTCTGCTTCCCGAGTTCAAGTGATTCTCCTGCCTTAGCCTACTGAATAGCTGGGATTACAGGTGCGTGCCAGCACGCCCGGCTAATTTTTTGTATTTTTAATAGAGACAGGGTTTCACCATGTTGGTCAGCTGGTCTCAAACTCCTGACCTCAGGTAATCCCACCTGTCTTGGCCTCTCAAAGTGCTGGGATTACAGGAGTGAGCCACTGCACCCAGCCTGTACCTTTATAAAAAAATAAATAGGGGGAAAAGTGAAAGCCTGTACTTGGACAGGGACTTGGGAATGGAAACGGATAAAAAGCATGACTAAAAGAGATGGAACTGACAGGAACACTGAGAGAGATACAGAGATGAAATAAAGTGATTCAGGTTTCTAGTCTGAAGGACAGGGATGAAGGTGTTATTAAATGGAGAGAAGGAATATAGGCGGTTCAGAATTTAGGCAGTTAGGTGGAAAGGATTAGTTAAGGTTAGGCAAGTACAATTTGGAGGTGTGTGCTGGATATTCACTTGACAAGGTCCAATAGGAAGCTGAAATCCCACTAACAAGTTGCTGGTTTCTCATTTCCTTTACCACCTTCACTCAGTGCCGCAATGTGAGTAATGTGAAACCACTGCAATGGACGAGTACCAAGAATGGACAGAATAGCTGTCAAGATACATGTTGAATGTTTTTAGAATGATACACACAGCTGCATGGACAAAGGATCGGCTTAGGACATATTTCAACCTACTCTTTAAATAAAAGTGCATTCTAGTATTTCACAATGGAAGATTTGAAGAGAAAACAATGGGCTCATTTAATGAGAACTTTTGGTTATACAACAGGTCAGAAATTAATCTACATCAAACTGCAAAGCTAGAATATAACTTGGAAGTGACAGTTACTAATTTAATGAATATTCCCAACTTAATCCTGGCAAAGGCCAAATGAATAAAAAGGATCCAGAAGATACATCAAACGAATAGGTAATGCTAACACTTAAAAATTTCATAATGCCACGCACGGTGGCTGACGCCTGTAATCCCAGCGTTTTGGGAGGCTGAGGCGGGCAGATCACCTGAGGTCAGGAGTTCGAGACCAGCCTGCCCAAAATGGTGAAACCCTGTCTCTACTAAAAATACAAAAAATTAGCCCAGGTTGTTGGCGTGCACATTTAATCCCAACTACTCGGGAGGCTGAGGCAGGAGAATTGCTTGAACCTGGGAGGTGGAGGTTGCAGTGAGTTGAGATCACTTCACTGTGAAACTCCGTCTCAAAAAAAAAAAAAAAAATTCGTAACAGGGCCGGGCGCGGTGGCTCACACCTGTAATCCCAGCACTCTGGGAGGCCGTGGTGGGCGGATCACATGAGGTCAGGAGCTCCAGACCAGTCTGGTCAACATAGCGGAAACAACATGGCGAAACTCAATCTCTACCCAAAAAAATACAAAAATCAGCCAGGTGTGGTGGCGCGCGCCTGTAATCCCGGTTACTCGGGAGGCTGAGACAGGAGAATCGCTTGAACCCAGGAGGCAGAGGTTGCAGGGAGCTGGGATCGCGCCACACTACTCCAGCCTGGGGGACAGAGAAAGACTGTCTTTAAAAAAAAATTATTAAAGACTTATCAGAAAAGAGTACATCTTTCTCCTGGTTAAGAGTCAAAAAGTTATCAGTGCCTACAAATTAATCACTCTTCTGCGGTAGAAAAATTTCAGCGATTCTGCACGTCAAAGCAAACAAACAAGGTAAACAAAACCACTAATTACTAAAAACCTTTTGGATTTAGAAACCTAACCGAAGCAAGGGTGAGACTACGAATCACGGCTTTGGCTTTAAGTCCCTGTTGTACTAAGGCCGATATAATCACTTCGGTCAAGTCCCTTTGCCTTTGGCCTCAGTTTCCTCATTTGCTAACGCTGGGCAGAGAGAAGAGGGTCAAACTACTGGGCATCTGAGATATGGAGGGAAGGGCGGAACAGAGGTGAGACACCCGACCCGATCGCAGATGTTGCAGGGCTCTGAAGGCTTCAGCAAGCCAGGCAAGCAAGGCCACCGACTCCTTGCTCCAGCGGCCCCGGGGCCTGCCCAAGCCGGGGGGCAGGAAGGAGGGCCGAAGGGCCTGACCCCTTCCTTTGCTCCTCCTTGACTTCCTACCTTTACTGCATACAATTTGCCGCCTTTCTGCCCCAGATACACTTTCCCGAAGGCGCCCCGGCTAATGGGCTTCACGATGCTGAATTCCTCAATGGAGGGCGGTTTTGGCACCGAGATTCTATTCACGCCCTCCTCGGTCGCCGCGCCTCCTCCAGCCTCCTTCTTGCTTCCCGCGGTGGGCTCCATCGCTAGCCAGCCTACAGCGGTCCCGCGGCCGCGGCCCCCAGCCCAGCAGCCACTCCCGCCAACTGGGTTCAAAGTGAGGCTCCGCCCACGCCGCGCGCGGCCGTGACGTCACAGCGCCGCCGTGCCCCGCCCCCGTCACCTCCCCTGCGCAGACGTGGAGGGAGGGGGCGTCGGGAAAGCCCAGAGTCCCTGGCAGTACACTAGTCGTGGGCGGCGACTGCGGTACTACTGACGTCATTCCTCATGAGGGAGGAGGCACAGACAGTTCTGGGCCGACAGTAAAGGGACGACTGGGGCTTCACTGAATCGCAGGATTTGAAAACATTTCTCCCGGCTTCCCAACGAGGCTGGTGGGAAGCGGTCCTCCTCGTATACACGACCTCCCCACCCCCGCGAGGCGTAGAAACCAGTTCGGACTGTACAGTAAAGCGAAAGCCAGGGACAGAATGTGGAGAAACGATGAGCAGGAAGCGGGTGGCCGCCCCTGTCATCTGACGTTTTCCCAGGATAAAATTTGCCTGACTGAAACAGATCAGAACCAACAGGGAGAGTTTTCGATTTAGTGTGAGGAAAAGAGCACGAAATTGTAGTGAAAGACCTTATTGCTCAAGGCCCAGTCAGAAGATTTCATAAGGAAGCTGTAGAAAGTCTTAAGAAGAGATTAGCCGAGCGTGGTGGCGGGCACCTGTCATCCCAGCTACTCGGGAGGCTGAGGCAGGAGAATCTCTTGAACCCGGGGGGCGGAGGTTGCAGTGAGCCGACATCGCGCCACTGCACTCCAGCCTGGGCGAAAGAACGAAACTCCGTCTCCAAAAAAAAAAAAAGAAAAAGTCTAAAGAGGGTAAAGGCTGTTCTCTCGTTAAAAAACAGCTAAAGACCTTTGGGGACGCTGTTTCTTGTAAATGTCAACTACTTCCGCGGGAAAGAACGCGCAGGCACTTGGCCGTGTGGGCACTCACTTGCCCCGGAAGTAGTGTTGCGTTAGCGCCTCACCTTCCGGGGCGGATTGTCTGTCGTTGCAGTAGCGGTAGGAAGGGGAGGCCATTTTCCGTTTCTGGGAGGAGTGCGGGGCAACGGGTCGGAGAAAAAGGTAAAAAGAAGGGCTCAGCGCCTCCCCGCCGGGCCGTCGACAGAGGGGCACAGTTTCGGCAGGCGGGTGAGGTCGCTGAGGGCCCGCAGGAGATGTTTTCCTTGTCGAGCACGGTGCAACCCCAGGTAAGCGCGGCATTCACCCCATTTTTTTCCCTCCCGTCCTGCCCGTGGCTGTTTGCAAATTGCGCTCTTGGAAGCGATTTCTCAGAAAGGACTCTAGGAAAGAAGTGATGAACTCAGTGCGCGTCCCAGGATTGAGGAGTGGATCAGGGGACGTCGCTGAGAGTGGGCCCGAGACTTCAGGGCTGACAATGAGGCTGTTGGGGGCAGAGGCGGGGTGTGAGCGTGATGGAGAGAGACCCTGGCTTACCGAACTGATGGCGTGGAATTTCTGCTAGAGAATCAGTCCGGCATTGTTCAGTGTCTGGCGTTCTGGGGTGGGGGCTGGGGAAATGTCTCTACCATACATGTAAAGGGAGCAGGTAATGTTCCCGTTTCTTCCGACTTCCTAGTGGCTTTAGTGTTCACAGCCCCTGTCCCGTGCTCGCTCTTTCTTTTTAAATGGAATTTAAATTTAACCCAAACATGGTATAGTAATTCGAATGGCCATCCTTGCAAGTTTTCTTTTTGACCAGAAGTAACTAATAACGTGTATTTTCGAGTCGTAAACTGTTTGCAGTTAAAATTTTGATTCAGCCTCATCCTCATCGTTTTGTAAAACAAAAGGTAGTGAAGAAAAAAATGATTTCAAGGGTTTTCAGTATGCTCTTTGATGGGCAGTCGCTTATGACAATGTTTTATTCTTGCTTCATTCCAGTCTCTTTTTTTGATGGTAACATTTTAATAGATTTTTTGAGAGTTCCTACAGTTTTGCAAAGAAATAGTTTTTAAAACGTTGAGTTTTTTTTTTTTTTAATAATTTTTAAGAAAATCGACACTCAGGTTCTTGGTTTAAGCATATGATTGTGTTCCTTTGTGTAACTTTTACTCCCTCTCATTTTAAGAATTTTTAATTTTTTTGTGCTAGTATTGGCTAACAAACTGAAGCAGCTGCTTGTTTATTGGGCATCAGTTATGTACCAGGTGAGCAAAGCAAATGTGGAATCTTCTCTTAATATTGATATGAAGTAAATATGACTAGGACTTAACCAGGTGAAGAGTGAACAGGTATCACGGACATACAGAAAAATACCTGGAGGTCCTGAGTTAGGAAACGATTTAGCAGGTTGGAGGAACCAAAATAAGGCTAGTGTGGCTAGAACATAGTAATTAAAGGGGGTAGTGACAGAACAGGTTGGAGAAAAGACTTGAGGCAGATCATACAGGGAGTAAAGCATTTGTTATGGCTGATTTCATGTCAAGTGCGTTGGCAACCACTGAAAGTTGTTTTTTTTTTTTTTTTTTTATTGAGACGGAGTCTCGCTCTGTTGCCCAGGCCAGAGTGCAGTGGCGCAATCTCACTGCAAGCTCCTCCTCCCGGGTTCACGCCATTCTCCTGCCTCAGCCTCCCGAGTAGCTGGGACTACAAGTGCCCTCCACCACGCCCGGCTAATTTTTTTTTGGATTTTTAGTAGAGACGGGATTTCACCGTGTTAGCCAAGATGATCTCGATCTCCTGACCTCGTGATCCACCCGCCTCGGCCTCCCAAAGTGCTGGGATTACAGGCGTGAGCCACCGCGACCGGCCACACTGAAACTTTTAAAACATAATTAGGTTTTCGTTTTTAAAAGATGACTGGCTTTTGCTGTATGGAGAATAGGAGAGGGCAAGAGTGGAAGGTGTTACCAGTTAAAAATACCGCCCCTGCCCCCCCATTAATGCGGTTGCAGTGGTTATGGAAAGAAGGGAATGAGATATATTTTGAAGAAAGTGGAATTGCATGAGATATCAGATAAAAGAGATGATGGGGAGAGGTGTTTCTGGGTTTGATCAGATGAATGCATTGAAGGTGCTATTTACCAAGATGACAGTGTCTGGAGAAGTCCTAGTAATTGTTTGAAAAAGAAGTCTGACATGGCCTATTGAATATGGTATTAAAGTTTTTGGAACAACTCTTTGTCTTAGTTAACATCAAGAGAGGCCTGATTTTAGGAGAATTTACCATCAACTGGATGGACAGTTAGTAGTATGTGATGTTGGTAGAGATGATAAAGGGATTTTTACGTACCCTAGGCAGTCTTAACAGGGCTCAAATATAGTGAGGACACTCAGGCATTTCTTGCTTTGAAAGATGGTAACACATTTGGAATTCCTGGTTGCTTAATTGGCTGAATACACTTGAAATTAAATGGTAGAAAGGAAGCCACAGAAAACGAACTGTTTCATTGAGAAGAGCTCAATCCTAAATCCTTTTGTGAAAGAAAAGAGTTAAAACTAATTCAAATAAATCTTTTCAAAGAAATAGGTAGAAAATATGTATCTTGAAATGATTTGATTATTTTTACAGTTTCAAAAGAAGTTACTGTTTATTTTTTTTCTTTTTACTGCCCCCAGGCTGTAAGGAACTTACTGTTTCTTTCTGACTCTAAAAATGATACATTACTTCACTTGACTAGCCTTAAAAGAATACATTTATTTTGCTAAAAATGCTGAAAATATAATTAAATCACCCGTAATCTCATTACTGAGGGATACGTGTCTTAGAATAAATTCTTTCACACAGTTTTTTCTATAGACAAACGCGAGTATGCATACTTTATTTTTTGTTTTTATTTTTTGAGATGGAGTCTCACTCTGTCGCCCAGGCTGGAGTGCAGTGGCGCGATCTCAGCTTACTGCAAGCTGCGCCTCCCAGGTTCACGCCTTTCTCCTGCCTCAGCCTCCCAAGTACCTGGGACTACAGGCGCCCACTACTGCTTTTTAGTAGAGACGGGGTTTTCACTGTGTTAGCCAGGATGGTCTTGATATCCTGACCTCGTGATCCATCCACCTCAGCCTCCCGAAGTGCTGGGATTACAGGCGTGAGCCACCGCACCGGCCACAGATATGCATACTTAAGGTAGTTTTACAGTCTACTTTATTCCCTAGTATGTCACGAATTTGTGTATCAATACCCATGGGATGAGAAGTCTGGAATTTTGAGTCAGATTCTAAATCTCTGTTGTCTTCATCTGTTAAATGGTCTGTACCCCACGGTAATGGCATTAGTCATTGATGAGGGCAGAGCCCTCCTGAACTAAATGCCTCTAAAAGGTCCCACCTCTTAACAGGATTACAGTGGCAACAAAGTTTGCCATTCTTTTCAACTCAAACTTGAGTTTTGGAGGAGATGAACAGTGAAATTTTTACTGGAAGTGGGCCCTGTTCCAGACCCCAACAGAGGGTTCTTGGATCCCGCACAAGAATTTGAGAGAGTCGCCGGGCGCGTGGTGCTCACACATGTGAGCTCACACATCCCAGCACTTTGGGAGGCAGAGGCGAGTGGATCACGAGGTCAGGAGATAGAAATCCTGGCTAACATTGTGAAATTCTGTCTCTACTAAAAATACAAAAAAGTAGCTGGGCGTGGTGGCCTGTGCCTGTAGTCCCAACTCCTTGGGAGACTGAGACAGAAGAATCGCTTGAACCCAGGAGGCGGAGGTTGCAGTGAGCCGAGATCGCATCACTGTGCTCCCAGCCTGGGCGACAAAGCGAGACTCCATCTCAAAAACAAACAAACAAACAAACAAGCAAAAAAACGAGAGAGTCTATAAAGTGAAAGCAAGTTTATTAAGATATAAGAAGGTAAAGTAAAAAATGGGGTACTCCATAGGCAGAGGAGCGGAGCTGCTTGGGCTTCTCCGCTAAGGATGCCTACGGTTAGTTATTTCTTGGTTTTATGCTAAACAATGTGTGATTATTCATAAGTTTTAAGGGAAAGGGGGACCTTCGAGATTCCTCCCCTTTTTGGACTACACAGGGTAACTTCTTGACGTTGCCATGGCATTTATAAACTGTCATGATCTGGTGGGAGTGTCTTTTAGCGTGCTAATGCATTTTAATTAGCACATAATGAGCATTGAGAATTAGCAGAGGCCACTCTATTCATCTTGGTTTTGGTGGGATTTGGCTGGCTTCCTTACTACAGCTTGTTTTATCAGCAAAGTCTTTATGACCTGTGTCTTGTGCCCACATCCTATCTCATCCTGTGACTTAGAATGCCTAACCTCCTGGGAATGCAGCCCAGTAGGTCTCAGCCTCATTTACTGTCATTTTGCCCCTGCTCCAGATGGAGTCGCTGTGGTTCAAACATCTCTGACAGAACTGTAACAAGAAATATAATTGTTACTCATTATTATAGCTATTTGAGGATTAAATGGGATGATGTAAGTAAAGCATGTAATACTAAACCTGGTATATAATAAGAAGCCATTTAGTTTGTTCATTTATTCAACAAATATTTATTAAGTAAATTTTTTTTTTTTTCTTGAGACAGGGTCTTGCCGTGTCACTCAGGCTGGAGTGCAGTGGCGTGATAGCTCACTGCAGCCTCAAACCTCCTGGGCTCAAGTGTTTTTTTGTTTTTATTTTATTTTTTTTGTTTGTTTTTATTTTTTGAGGTGGAGTTTTGCTCTTGTCACCTAGGCTGGAGTGCAGTGGCACGATCTTGGCTCACTGCAACCTCCGCCTTCCAGGTTCAAGTGATTCTCCTGCCTCTGCCTCCCAAGTATCTGGGATTACAGGTGCCCATCACCATTCCTGGCCAATTTTTTGTATTTTTAGTGGAGACGGGATTTCACCACATTGGCCAGGCTGGTCTTGAACTCCTGACCTCAGGTATCTGCCTGCATTGGTCTCCCAAAGTACTGGGATTACAGGTGTGAGCCTCTGTTCCTGGCCTACTTACTATTTTTTTTAATGTTGGATGTATTTCATTATGTGGTAGTTTCTTTTTTTTTTGAGACAGGTCTTACTTACCCTGTTGCCCTGGCTAGAGTGCAGTGGTGTGATCACAGCTCACTGCAGCCTCCGCTTCCTGGGATCAAGCGATGCTCCTACCTCAGCCTCCCAAGTAGTTGAGACTACAGGTGCACACCATCACACCCGTGTAATTATTGTATTTTTTGGTAAAGATGGGGTTTCACTGTGTTGGTCAGGCTGGTCTTGAACTCCTGACCTCAAGTGATCAGCCTGCCTCGGCCTCCCAAAGTGCTGGGATTACAGGCATGAGCAACTGCACCTGACCAGTGGTGTCATTTATTTTACCGGTCCTCTAATGGTGGATGTTTCCAGCTTTCTACTATTTTTGAAATGTTTTTAATGAGAGTTATTCTCTATGCATGTGCAAGTACTTGTCAGATTCCTTAGAATAAATTCCTAGAAGGTGGATTGCTACAAACAAGAAATGTATGTATTTTTGATACTTTTGATTTACATATTCAGAATAATATCCTGAAAGAATATACCAATTTTCTTCTCACCAGCAGTAAATCCGAGTACTTACAGTTTTTAGTATACTGGGTCGACGTATGATGTATATTTAAATACTTAACAAATCCTGACAAGAAAAAGGAGATTGTTCTGTTTATTTAAAAAAAAAAAAAAAAAAACTACTTAATTTTTAACTTTTATCTTTTTCTAGGTTACAGTTCCTCTGAGTCATCTCATCAATGCCTTCCATACACCAAAAAACACTTCTGTTTCTCTCAGTGGAGTGTCAGTTTCTCAAAAACAGCATCGAGATGTAGTTCCTGAGCATGAGGCTCCCAGCAGTGAGGTAAGTCTTTATCCTAGTTGTGTGAGAAAGCCTTTTTGATATATAGTTGACCTTGAACAAATGAGGGATTAAGGATATTGACCCTCCCCCATAGTCAAAAATTTGAGTATAATTTTTGACTCCTGAGAAACTTAACTACTAATACCCTACTATTGCCCGGGAAGTCTTGCCAATAAAATAAAGAGTCCATTAACGTGTATTTTGTATATTTTATGTATTATGTACTGTATTCTTACAATAAAGTAAGATAGAGAAAATAAAATGTTATTAAGAAAATCATAAGGAAGAGAAAATATACTTACTATTCATTAAGTAGAAGTGGACCATCATAAAGATCTTCATTATCTTCAAGTTGAGTGGGCTGAGGAGGAAGAGGAGGGGTTGGTCTTGCTGTCTCTGGTGGCAGAGTAATTTGAGTAATTTATCTAGTGGTCTGTTAGACATTTTCCTTGGATAGGCTCCAGGGACCTCAAATTTAATATGCCCAAAACTGAGAAAGTCCATGTATCTATGGATGTGCACAGCTCTAATCTGTTGTTCAAGGATCAACTGTACTATTAATCATGTTGGATGAAGTATCTTTCTCTAGGCACTTGTGGCAGGTGATTTCTGCCTTCAACTTAATCTTCTTTGCAATTGAAGATATTTCTGGCTTTTATTATACATATTGCAAATATATTTAGACTTTTTTTTTCTTAATTTTCATTTGGCACTGTACTTCGTATTAGCCCCTCCTACATTGTGCGATACCAGTCGGCTACTCTGTTGTGTTCCCTCAGCAGTAGCGGGGAACCCATAGGTAACTGACCATAATTACCTCCCAAGTTTCAAGGAAGATAAAATAGTATGAAGTTACCATCTACTGCCTTATAGGAGCCTTCAGTGTAACTGAACAATTAAAATATAGGTACTGGAAAGTGAAATATATAAGCTAGGACACTGTACTTTCAGTATTTGTATAATTATAAAATCAGTGTTTCCTAGGATATTGAAAATTATTAACCTAAGAACTGATGTATTTACAAGGCTTATTAGTAAGATAGTTGCTTACAAGCTCAGGATACATTTTTCATGGAAAAAATGTTATAATCTGGCATTGAGTTCCCAAAGCCTCTTCAACACATAAATAGGTTATGTTCTTAATCTGATATCAGGAGCTAATGGCAAAGGACAGTAGTGGAGGAGTTGAAAAGAGCTTGCTTTTGAGAGGGTTGTAGAGTCAGCCTTGGGATAAAATTTTAATTTAATGAAAAGTTTGTCATCTTGTACTTCCTTTTGTACTATTTGCCTAGTTCTTACTGCCTTTTCCTATACACAGTCCATTATTGTCTTTCTACTCTACTACTGACACTCTTGTCCAAAATTATAGTCCAAGAGAGCCTTACTACTGAAGATAGTATCAACATTGGTACATGCAACAAAATTATGTTCATTTTACAAGTTTTAGAAAATATTAGTGTAGGTAGAAGAAACGGAATTCATCCGTGGACTCTTTTCTAAGGCTGTTAACATTTTGTGTTTTCGTATGTCTTTTTCTCTTGCACTTTCTGTATTTTATAATAATTAGATACTATTGCACATGTTGATTTAGATTCTGCTTTGCTTATTTAGTAGTCTTATGAATTTATGCTGTATGTTTTCTGCATGTGTATTCACACTACATTCTATTGAAATTTGGCTACTACTTTTACTATTTTTCAGACTTCTTTCGCTGAAGTTAGTGCTGATTTCCTTAGTGTTAAATATACGCCTTTTACCAAAAAAAACCCTGCATCTCTCAACTTGTCATTTGCATTTGACCTTTCTTACTTTGCAAATACTCCCTTAAATTGAGTGATACTACTTTGATGGGGTTTTTTTTGTTTGTTTGTTTGTTTGTTTGTTTTTTGAGACAGAGTCTCCCTCTGTCACCCAGGCTGTAATGCAGTGGTGTGATCTTGGCTCACTGCAACCTCCACCTCCTGGGATCAAACGATTCTCGTGCCTCAGCCTTCCGAGTAGCTGGAATTACAGGCATACCCCACCACACCTGGCTAATTTTTTGTATTTTTGGTAGAGATGGAGTTCACCGTGTTGGCCAGGCTGGTCTCAGACTCCTGACCTCAAATGATCTGCCAGCCTCAGCCTTTCAAAGTGCTGGGATTACAGGCATGAGCCACCATGCCTGTCCTAATTTTCAGTCTTTACTTTCTCCCAGGTTACATTCCCACTTACATATTTTCTTTCTTTTTTTTTTTTCTTTAGTTTTAAGATGGAGTTTTGCTCTCGTTGCCCACGCTGGAGTGCAATGGTGCGATCTTGGCTCACTGCAACCTCCGCCTCCCTGGTTCAAGCAATTCTTCTGCCTCAGTCTCCCTAGTAGCTAAGATTACAGGCGTGAGCCACCACGTGTGGCTAATTTTTTTGTATTTTTAGTAGAGACGGGGTTTCACCATGTTGGCCAGGCTGGTCTTAAACTTCTGACATCAGGTGATCCGCCTGCCTCTGCCTCCCAAAGTGCTGGGATTATAGGCGTAAGCCACTGTGCCTGGCTGCCACTTGCATATTTTCAGTTAACATCTCTCTATATGTTACTCCCAAATATATCTTCAATGGTAAAGTCACTTTCAAGTTTTGAGTAATTTATCTAGTGGTCTGTTAGACATTTTCCTTGGATAGGTTCTAGGGACCTCAAATTTAATATGCCCAAAACTGAGTTATTGGTCTTACAGTGGCTTTAGTCCTACTTTTTCAGTCTGAGTCCAACTAGAAAAGAGAAACCACATAGTCATTTGAACAGTAAAAGTTTAGTATAAAAATGTAATGTCTGCTGGGCACAGTGGCTCATGCCTGTAGTCCCAGCACTTTGGAAGGCTGAGGAGGGTGGATCACCTGAGGTGAGGAGTTCAAGACTAGCCTGACCAATATGGGAAAATTCCATCTCTACTAAAAATACAAAAATTAGCCGAGTGTGGTGGCGTGTGCCTGTAGTCCCAGCTACTCGGGAGGCAGAGACAGGAGAATCGCTTGAGCCCAGGAGGCAGAGGTTGCTGTGAGCTGAGATTGCACCACTGCACTCCAGCCTGGGTGACAGCAAGACTCTGTCTCAAAAATAAATAAATAAATATAAAAATGTAATCTCATTTTTTTGTTTAATCTTAAAAAAAAAAACCCTGTTTTTACAGGGCAGTGGAATAGGTAGGGATTTAAGAAGTAAAGAAAACTCTTAAAAAATATAAAAAATAAAAAAGGACCAGCAGATTTAGGGAGCAGCTCATACTTCTAGGTCTGAGATAGAGTCAGGAAGAGTTCTCCACCCTCAGGGCTGAGATCCTGATGTTGGCGAAGGCATGGCCTTGGCTTACTGAATGGTAGAGAAGTTGCTGTGATGTCATGCCAGGAGAACTTGCTGGATACTGGGGAAAGCTGTTCCTGGGGATGTGTCCTGCTAGAGAAGCTGCTATATGAGTGGTGCCAGGGGAAGCTGCTAGGTATTGCTGGCCATTGTGCACTCCAGGAGCCAGGGTTTGGTGAAACTGCACAATTGACAGGAGCCAGATGCTATAGAAACCATGGGTGTTACAGACAGGAATCTGCTAAATGAGCATACCAGAACCAGGAATCAAAACGTCTCTTCCTACAGTGTGCATTCAGTGACTTCCTGACGAAGCTTAACATTGTTTCAATTGGCAAAGGAAAAATATTCAAAGGGTACAGATCCATGTTCATGGAGCCAGCAAAAAGGATGAAAGAGCGCTTGGACACAACCAACCGATAACTGGCACATCCGTCCAGAACCCTTCTCCCTCTCAATCCCTATATACTGTGGGTTTCTCCAAATGCCTATTGTCTATGATTTACTATGTCCATCCTTCTTAGTCACGGCTTAGTTCAGGTTCTTGCCATCTTTCACTTGTTCCATCAGCCTTCTCTCTCATCCAGTCTAGCTTGTTTGTTTGTTTGTTTTATCATTTTAAAATTTTTTGTAAAGACAGGGTCTTGCTTTCTTGACCAGGCTGATCTCGAACTCCTGGCCTGAAACAGTCCTCCCACCTCAGCCTCTCAAAGTGTTGGGATTATAGGCTTGAGCCATCATGCTAGGCCAGTCTATCTTCCTTAGTTCTCTATTTTCTTCCGTAAGACAGAACTAATCATATTACTTAGAGAATTAAATTCAAACATGGCTCTTCACAATTTGGCCATAGCATATCTCTTTACTTTTTTCTTTCCTTGAATTTTTTGAGATGTTCCAGACCCTTGGATAGCTTTTTGTTTGCCCCTCTCCCTAAGTCTTCTTCATCCATCATTTTTAATAGCTTAAAATACTTAAAGTACTCTTAAGTATTTTATTTCACCATGCCTTTAACTGTCTTTTACTATGGCCATCATGCTGTGTGCTAGGCTGTGTAGATGAGTAAGACATGATCTTTGCCTTTGATGCTTACTATTATGAAATAAGGTGTATTTTATAGTTATGTTAGTATTGAGAAAATGAATTCTAGGAATATGAGTTATATCTAGTAAAAAAAAAAGTACTATACTCCCAGACATCAATCTAGAGCTATGTACTCCATGTCCATGCCTCTTTTAAGAAAATTTTTAGTTTTAGAGATAGGGTCTCCCCTCTGTATCCCAGGCTGAAGTGCAGTGATGCTATCATAGCTCACTACAACCTCCAGCTCCTGGGCTCAAACATTTCTCCTGAACAGCTGGTACTGCAGGCGAATACCACCACACCCAGCTAATTTTTTAATTTTTCGTCGAGATGATGTCTTACTATGTCGCCTAGGCTGGCCTCAAACGCTCCTCCCACCTTAGCCGTTTTGGGTTTGAGTAACATATAATTGCTACTTGTCTTTAAGTGCCTCCTTTTCAGCTCATGTGGACAAGAAAATAACTAATCCCTGTCCTGTTGTTTAAAAGTGGGTATATATACACACATATTTGTGATTTTTAGACTTTTTTGCCTGATTTTCACAGTTTTGACTTAATTTTCTTCCTTATTAGAAGATAATGGGTAACTTTAGAACCTCTGAGTTCAAGGAAGGATCTCAGCAGTGAGGCCAGAGGAGTGAGATGTCCTGTGGTAACCAAGCATACCATTTCCTTGTCAAGTGGGCTTTTGTTTATGGCTGCTTAGGGGCTTAAAACTCCATGGACTGGTGAGGATTATCATTTGAATAGAATTTCTCCAATTCAAAAACCTTACTATTATCCTCCAATCAGTTTTACACTGTTGGGGAAAATCCCCCTGACCTTATATAACATACTTTGTAACCCTGCAGGTAGTTACACTTATACGGTTGTCATTATAAATGCTTGATCAATGGTTGATAGACTAGCTCTTGATCAGAGTACCCTTGTATGGAGAGAAGGAAAAAATATCATACATTTCACTTGATTCTGTGAACCATAATGCTTAGGACAGTAGTGGTTTGGGTTTGATTTAAAAACAAATGTTTTTCTCATTCATGCTGAAATGTTATCTCTTTATTTAAGGATACCATTGGGAATATAATTTTTTAACCTATGTCAAACTTCCTATGACTGATCTCAGTGAAACGAACTGTAAAAATATTTGCATCAATTTATTTTTAAATATTTAAAAAAGAAGTATATGTATTAGACTTTTAAAATCTAATTGTTTTAACTGATAATGTGTACTTCTTAGGTTAAATATCTTGGTAATATTAATGCATACCTGGTTGACCCAATCTTTTACAGCCTTTGCTTAACTTAAGAGACCTTGGATTATCTGAATTAAAAATTGGACAGATTGATCAGCTGGTAGAAAATCTACTTCCTGGATTTTGTAAAGGCAAAAACATTTCTTCCCATTGGCATACGTCCCATGTCTCTGCACAGTCCTTCTTTGAAAATAAATATGGTATGTTAATGTATTTTTTGTTCTAATTAAATATTTTAGCACTATTAATAAATACCATTTATTAGCTTTTACGGTAGCATTTACTGTGGGCTGGGTTCCTTCCTGAAGGTTTGTTTTTTTTTTTTTTTTTTGGACAGTCTCCCTCTGTCACCCAGGCTGCAGTGCAGTGGCGCAATCTCTGCTCACTGCAAGCTCCACCTCCTGGGTTCATGCCATTCTCTTGCCTCAGCCTCCCGAGTAGCTGGGACTACAGGTCCCCACCGCCGCAGCCAGCTGATTTTTGTATTTTTAGTAGAAACGGGGTTTCACCGTGTTAGCCAGGATGGTCTCGATCTCCTGACCTTGTGATCTGCCTACCTCAGCCTCCCAAAGTGCTGGAATTACAGGCGTGAGCCACCGCGCCCAGCCTTAAACACAGTACATCTTTTATCACTGGTTTTGTTTTGTTTTGTTTTTGAGATGGAGTTTCACTCTTGTTGCCCAGGTGGGAGTGCAATGGCTCACTCTCAGCTCACCACAAGCTTCACCTCCTGGTTTCAAGCGATTCTCCTGCCTCAGCCTCCCAAGTAGCTGAGATTACAGGCATGCGCCACCATGCCCGGCTAATTTTTTATTTTTAGTAGAGACGGGGTTTCTTCATGTTGGCAAGGCTGATCTCAAACTCCCAACCTCAGGTGATCCACCCACTTCTGCCTCCCAAAGTGCTGGAATTACAGGCGTGAGCCAGCGTGGCCGGCCATGTTTTATCACTGTTAATTTGAATTTAGTTTCATTAGCAGCTACATTTGTATGCCAGATAAAAAAGACAATGTAGGCCAGGCGCGGTGGCTCACGTCTGTAATCCCAGAACTTTGGGAGGCTGAGGCAGGCGGATCACAAGGTCAGGAGATCAAGACCATCCTGACTAACAGGGTGAAACACCATCTCTACTAAAAATACAAAAGATTAGCCGGGCGTGATGGTGGACACCTGTGGTCCCAGCTGCTCGGGAGGCCAAGGCAGGAGAATAGCGTGAGCCTGGGAGGCGGAGCTTACAGTGAGCCGAGATCATGCCACTGCACTCCAGCCTGGTGGACAGAGCGAGATTTTGTCTCAAAAAAAAAAAAAAAGATAATGTAACCAACAAGTGATAGTAAACTAAAGGATTGTGAGATGTAAAGTAGTTAAATTAGCAATGCTTTAGATATTTTCATAAAAGTTGAAACTCATATTGTGATTTCCCTAATATTTGATAGAATTATTTATGTTTCATAGGATTTTTGTTTTTTGTTTTGGAAATTAGAAAATTTACTTTTTGCAATTTCCTTCCAGGTAACTTAGATATATTTAGTACGTTACGTTCCTCTTGCTTGTATCGAAAACAACATTCAAGAGCTCTTCAAAACATTTGTTCAGATCTTCAGTACTGGCCAGGTATGAAGCAACAACCATAGCTATTTTGGAAAAATAATATACTTATTTACTGCAGTCTGATTTGTCTTTCTTAATGGTATTAATGATTATAAACATTCATTTGCAATTCACACGGCCTAAAGAGTATTTGGAATTGATTAGTTTGGGTTCTTCTGTATAATTTTCAATCTGGGATATAATTATATATATAGGAGTATAATATATAGGAGCTAAATTTTGAGTGTGATAGCGCCACAATAAATCAAACTCCAGGGAATTTATCTAACTTGTTTCAAGATAAATGACTAAGCACATTTGCTTACTCATCCTCACTTTCAAAAGCCCATTGAAATTAATTTTTTATATATATATATATATATGAAAAAAGCAATGACAGAAGGGTTTTGTTAATGGACCAGAAATTTGAGGACTTTCAGTAAGTTGTAATATAGGTGACATCAAATTGACAGTAAAATCAAATTTGCATTTATTCGTGTAATTTTTGAATACAAGGCACTAGTGATAGATGTCAGGTGATAGCGATCATTGTAAATGAAAAAGACATGTTTTCTACCTTCTTGGGACTAAGGGTCTCGTGAAAGAGGTAAGTACTTCTGCTTCCAAGAGAACTCAGGAAAAACCCCACTTCCAGAGCCAGTAAAATTGGACTCTGGGATGGAATAGAATAAACAGTTGAGGATTGCCAGAAATGGGCCAATCACAGAACAGATATGGCCTTTAACCTTTAGGTAAATTAGCAAAAAACACCTTTCTAATAAGACTTCTGTGTGTGTGTTTGTGTATCGAGGGACGTCTGTCTGTGGAGACTCCTGGTTTGAGCATTGATGCCAAGGAAAGAAACAAGATAGTACCCCAGATTACTTTGGTTTTGAATTATACATTCACTAAAGGTATTCTGCTCATAGTCCAAGTTTTATATTCTGAATATATTTACTTTTGCTAGTGTTGAGGATACCCATTTGTAGTCAATACCGATGACTGTATTTGTTTTGTTTTGTTTTTGAGATGGAGTTTTCCTCTTGTCACCCAGGCTGGAGTGCAATGGTACCTCCTGGGTTCAAGCAATTCTCCCGCCTCAGCCTCCCGAGGAGGTGGGATTACAGGTTCCCCCACCATGCCCAGCTAAGTTTTGTATTTTTAGTAGAGATGGGGTTTCACCGTGTTGGCCAGGCTGGTCTCGGAACTCCTGACCTTAGGTGATCCGCCTGCCTTGGCCTCCCAAAGTGTTGGGATTATAGCATGAGCCACAGCGCCAGGCCCTGATCACTGTATTCTTATTTATAATTACAAATGGATTACCAAGAATCTACGTATTTGAGGAAAACTTAAAGCATAAAAGAGAAGCACCAAGTTCAGGAAAGAGACCAATAACCCTCTAAAGAAATGATTAATGCAGAAGACAGAAGAAGACAGCTGATACTTTTTTTTTTTTTTGAGACGGAGTCTCCCTCTGTCGCCCAGGCTGGAGGGCAGTGGCCGGATCTCAGCTCACTACAAGCTCCTCCTTCCGGGTTTACGCCATTCTCCTGCCTCAGCCTCCTGAGTAGCTGGGACTACAGGCGCCCACCACCTCGCCCGGCTAGTTTTTTGTATTTTTTTTAGTAGAGACAGAGTTTCACCGTGTTAGCCAGGATGGTCTTGATCTCCTGACCTCGTGATCCGCCTGTCTCGGCCTCCCAAAGTGCTGGGATTACAGGCTTGAGCCACCGCGCCCGGCCGATACGTTTTTAGATGTTGTTGGAAGATGTTTAAAAACTGAGCGTGTGTTACCTAGGGTATGAAAACTATCTTAATAAATTTTCATAGTGTTGTAACTCTGAGGTCAGATTCTCTCAACATCAGAAAATAAAGCTAAAAATCCAGTAACAGAAAAGACAGCTTAAAAAAATACCTAAATACTTGAAATTTTAAAAACCCTTTTCTAAATGTCTCATGATTGAATGGAAATGAAAACTGAGATTACAGACACTCAGTAATTAACCACAGTGAAAATCTGTTTATCAGACTCTTTTGGTGAGGACAAAATGATGTTGAGGGCATTATATAATTTATTAAGAAATCAGGCCAGGCACGGTGGCTCACGCTTATAATCCTAGCACTTTGGGAGGCCGAGGCGGGCAGATCACCTGAATTCGGGAGTTCAAGACCAGCCTGGCCAACATGATGAAACCCCGTTCTCTACTAAAAAGGAAATACAAAATTAGCTGGGCGTGGTGGTGCATGCCTGTAATCTCAGCTACTCGGGAGCCTGAGGTAGGAGAATCACTTGAACCCAGGAGGCGGAGGTTGCAGTGAGCCGAGAGCACGCCATTGCCCTCCAGCCTGGGCAACAAGAGCGAAACTCCCGTCTCAAGAAAAAAAGAAAAGAAATCAAGATGGGCTGGACACGGTGGCTCACGCCTATAATTCCAACACTTTGGGAGGCTGAGGCTGAGGCTGAGGCTGAGGTAGGCGGATCACTTGAGGTCAGGAGTTTGAGACCAGCCTGGCCAACATGGCGAAACCCTGTCTCTACCATGATATACAAAAATTAGCTGGGCGTGGTGGCAAATGCCTCTAGTCCTAGCTACTCAGGAGGCTGAGGCAGGATAATTTCTTGAATGTGGGAGATGAAAGTTGCAGTGAGCCAAGACTGCGCCTCCATCCTGGGTGACAGAGCAAGACTTTGTCTCAAAAAAAAAAAAAAATTAAGATATAAAACGTGGAAAATAAATTGAATTTCTGAAAAATAATAGAAGAAATTAATACAAAGCAAATATTTTAAAATAATAGGTGGAAATAGTTTTACTTAATTAAACCAAAAAAAATTTAATATAAAAAAATGGAACAACATAACAATTCTGATTAAGAAACAACAGAAAAATACAAACAGTATTAGAAGTATGAGTGGGAATTGGCATGGATATGTGAAGGTTTTAAAATTGCAAGGTGGTATGTGTAACTTTATGTCATAAAAATACGTTGAAATGGACAGTTATCTAAGCAATAAATTGACAAAGTTGGCCCAAGAAGAGATAGGATAATAACCATAAAGTTTAAAAGATACTATTTAAAAAATATTGTTCCTTTGCCCCAGAGGCACTAGGTTCAGATAGTTTTTATGGCTGCATTCTTCTAGAATATTGAGTTTCTTGTTAATTTAAAACCATATTAAAAAGAAAAAGGTCTAGAATACACTTCCCTATTTATTCCATGAGATTGCTGTTAGTAGAACTTGTTAGTATTGGTGTAAGGGCAGGCACTGTGGATCACACCTGTAATCCCAACACTTTGGGATGATCACTTGAGGCCAGGAGTTCCAGACAAGCCTGGACAACATCTCAACAGCAACAAAAGGTAGCCCATCGTGGTATCATGCCCTTGTAGTTCTGGATACTTGGGAGGCTGAGGTGAGAGGTTTGCTTGAGCCCAAAGTTCAAGGTTACAGTGAGCTATGATCATGCTGCTATACTTCAACTTTAGTGACAGAGCAAGATCCTGTCTAAAAAATATATATATATGTATGTATGTATGTATATATATACACACACAAGCACGACAGAGGAACAAAATAGATGAGTTTCAATTAACAGAAATCCTAAATAAAATCCAAAGAAAGCAAATCTAAAAATGTGCTAAAAATATTATATCATGACTAAGGAATACAAAAGTGATTTAACGTTGTCAATTAATATATCATATTAATTGATTAGAAAAGAAAAATAATGTCACTATTTCAATGTATGATACAAAGACATAATATACTTTAATTGCTGTGCTTCCTGAAAACTCTTAGAAAGCTAGAAATGGAAGGAAACTTTTAAAATTTCTTAACATCTATTATGTTCCTGTTAATTTGAGAAACATGGAGTATCCTGGTTTTTTTCAGCATTAATTTGGAGATTCTGAACAATATGATTTAAAAGAAAACGAAATGAGCCATATGTAAGTTAAAGGAAGGGGTAAAATTATAATTTGCAGGTGGTACAATTGTTTACCAGAAAATTCAAGAAAATCATCCAAAAGGCTGTTCAAGTAGAGTTCACTCCTTTGTCCATACCAGATAAATGCATAAAAATCAATAGCTTTCTTATAATCTAGCAGCAGGTTTTATTTACAGTTTCTTTAAAACCCAGTAAATGTTTTATCCTGACAAGAAATATACAGCATACATACATACACACATACACACGTGTATATATGAAGCTTTACTGAAGGAAAAAGAGGAACTGAGTGAAATAAAATGAGAGAAGGCCATAATCCTATTTGGAAGAACTAGGTATTATAACAGTATCAATTTACACCAAAATTTATAAAGTCAGTACAACCCCAATCAAAACTCTCATGACCCATTTGGGAAATTGAGAAGTTGATTTTAAACTTAATTTGGAGTAACTGAGAACATGTTAAAAGAATTCTAATGAAGGGGATTTCACCCTACTTAAGTATATGAAAATATAGATATTTAGCCGTGGAAATCAGCAGTGTAGTGTTATAAATAACTAAAATTAAAAAATTTAACCTAGTGCTGGCATACATCAGTGCAACAAAATTAAGAATTTTAAATCAATAGGCAAATGATGAATAATGAAATGTTATCAGCCTAAGTGACTGTTTTGGAAAAATCAAGTTCTTTTCTTATATCGTACCAAAAAAAAAGTTCCAAATATGTTAAAGGGCTGAAAACAAAAATATAAAACTGAAAATATTACAGGTAAGTAGACTTCCTTTCAAATCTTAGTTTGGCGATGAAACTCTAATCAAGTTAAAATGCAGAAAACACAACAAAGGTATGGTTACACTGACCTAATAAATTTCTGTATCATGTGATTTGAAAGACAAAGACACATTAAAATAAATATTTACTATATATATAAAGATTACTATCTGTAACATCATATTCTCTAAATAAAAATGGAAAAATGTGCAAAGGACATGCATGGTCAAATTACCAATGAAATAAAAATAAAAATAGTCAATAAAAGTACAGAGGAATCTTTTCAAAATTTTCCCACATTTGTAATCTGGGAAATGCAAAGTAAAACAAGATACTGGTATTTTTGCCCATCAGACTTGTACAAATTTAAAAGATTCATATTGTTTAGTATTGGCAAGGATATGAAGAAAAGGAAACTTATAAGCATTGGTGGGCACATAAATTGATAACAGCCTTTTTTAGAAAGTAGTCTCGGCCAGGCTCAGTGGCTCACACCTGTAATCCCAGCACTTTGGGAGGCCGAGGTAGGCGGATCACGAGGTCAGGAGTTTGAGATCAGCCTGGTCAACATGGTGAAACCCCACCTCTACTAAAAATACGAAAATTGGCTGGGCATGGTGGCGGGTGCCTATAATCGCAGCTACTCAGGAGGCTGAGGCAGGTGAATCCGTTGAACCCAGGAGGCGTAGTGAGCGGAGATCATGCCACTGCACTCCCGCTGGATGATAGAGTGAGACTCTACCTCAAAAAAAAGTAGTAGTCTCTTAGTGTCAAACAAAATCTAAACCTTAACAGTGTTTCTTTTAGGAATTCAATCTACATCTGCTGACATGCATGTACAAGAATGTTCACCACAGTTTGTTTCCAGCAATAAAAACCAGAAAACAAATAATGTTCATGGTAGGGAAATGGTTGAATGAATTGCACTCTGATACATTGGAAAAGTGTAAACAGCCATTAAACTGAATGCACTGTCCTGTTCTGAAAAATAATGCATGAAAAATGAAAATTGCAAAAAATTATGTACTATTTCTAGAGTAGTTTTTATAGAAAGAGCATGTATGTGCATGCATAGAAGGGTAGTCAGAATTGTTAACAGGTTATACTTCTGGGAAGTGGGATTGGGGCTTGAGAAATTAGAAGACACTAATTTGATACACTCACCTTTTTTTCGAAAACATGTAAAAATCAGTTGTGTAGATTCAACCTATTTTAATTACTTGGCTGGTTTTTTTTTTTTTTTTTTTTTGGAAAAAAATCACAGTTTATCAGAGTTGATACTCAGTTTTTAAAATTATATTGTATAACCCTCTGACTTCTCTATTTACTTTTATCCCCTATCAACATAAAAATAGGGCAGGCGCGGTGGCTCGTGCCTGTAATCCCAGCACTTTGGGAGGCCAAGGCAGGTGGATCACCTGAGGTCGGGAGGATGAGGCAGGATAATTGCTTGAACCCAGGAGGTGGAGGTTGCAATGAGCAGAGATCGCGCATTGCACTCCAGCCTAGGCAACAAGAAAACAAAACTCCATCTTAAATTAATTAATTAATTAATTTCCTTTTGAAACAAGGACAGTAGAAAAAACTGTAGGCTGGACATGGTAGATTTAAGTGCTCAGATCTAATCCCAGCACTTTGGGAGGCTGAGGCAAGAGGATTGCTTGAGCCCAGGAGTTCAAGGCCAGCCTGGGCATAAAAGGAGACCCCGTCTCTACAAAAAAGAAACAAACAAAGGAACACATATTTAAGTGTCAGGCAAATTAGGTAGACTAGGATATACAGGTAGAGTGTCAGACTTTAGAATCTCAGGCGTTTTTCTTTTCCTGTAACAATTTACAGTGACAGTGAATGGTATTGTTTTATTTAGTTTTCATACAGTCTCGGGGTTTTAAAACTTTGAAATCAAGGACACGACGTCTCCAGTCCACCTCCGAAAGATTAGCTGAAACACAGAATATAGCGCCATCATTCGTGAAGGTAATTAGACCTTTTTATGATCCAAAAAGCAAATATTTTCAAGTTGTTAAAAAAAATGAGGAGCTTCAATATCTGATTTCTTTTGTTGGCTGATAGATTTTCTTCCTTCTTTCCACTAATAAGGGATTAGTAACCTGTGTAAATATTATACCTGTAACTCTTCTGGGCGCCAGACTTGCCTCTCCACTTACTAGATTTTTTCCCCACAAACCTACACCTGTTAAGGTGTTCTCTGTATTAATGAGCAGCAGCCATCCAAGCTAAAAACCTGGCTGTGAACCTATGTTTGTCCATGTTGCCTCACCTCCCACATCCATTAACCACTAAAGTTCTGTTGATCCAGCCTCCTAAATATTTGTTAAATCTGTTCCACTGGCATAGATAGGCTATAACTATTTGTTGCCTAAATTACTCTAATGAATACTTGTTTAATCTCCTTGCCTCTAGTCTTGCTATGTTCAGTCCAGCCTCCAGATTGTCACCCATCAATCTTTCTAAAATTATGGTCTAGTTATATTACTCTGCTTTATTGCTTACCTCCACCTGATACACTGGGAATTTCATCATTTGGTCTTTACCTGCTATGTTTCTCTTCTCACCATTCAGTATGCCCCTCTGTTTCCCTGCTCCTCTCTTGGCACTGAAGTCTTATATAAGATTGCTAGGGCCGGGTGTGGTGGCTCACACCTGTGATCCTAGCACTTTGGGAGGCCGAGGTGGGTGGGTCACCTGAGGTCAGGAGTTTGAGACCAGCCTCAACATGGCGAAACCCCGTTTTTACTAAAAATACAAAATTAGTTGGACGTGGTAGTGCATGCCTGTAATCCCAGCTACTCGGGAGGCTGAGGCGGGAGAATTGCTTGAGCCTGGGAGGCCGAGGTTGCGGTGAGCCGAGATCACGCCATCGCACTCCAGCCCGGGCAACAAGAGCAAAACTCTGTCTCAAAAAAAAGAGATTGCTAATAGTTCTTGAGCACTGAAGGCTATTGTTTCATGACTCTGTCAGATTGTTCATGGTGTTTATTCCCTGTTTTAGATGTCCTATTCTCTATAAGGCCTTTCCTGTATTCCTGAGGTAGCATTTATTTACTACCATACATAATACTTCTAACATAATATAAAAATGATTTAAGAAACTTAGCTATTTACATATCTTTCTCCAGTAGACTGAAAACTTTTAAGATCAGTGGTTTATTTATCTTTACATTTTTAGAAATTATATAAGGCCAAGTGTATGAACGGTGCTCAGTAGATATTTAGTAAATTAATGAAATTTTTCCTCTAGTAAAGATAAAGGGATATGAACATTAAGTGAATCAAACCCTAAGATAATATGTGACCTGTTTTCAGTATAGTGTTCATGCAGAGAATAATGCCACTTTCTTTGTATTATTACTTGATTGATGCAGGAATAGGATCTAGTATTAGTTTCCTAGTTATTAATTCATTGCTGAGTCTTAATCTGTTTCTTCATGTTGACAGTAAAAGTTACAGAATTTTAGTGAATTTTTTTTGAGTGGTCACAGTATTGTTAGGGAGTGTCACTCTGTCATTAACCAGTACTGATGTGTTGTTTGTGTATTCAGGGGTTTCTTTTGCGGGACAGAGGATCAGATGTTGAGAGTTTGGACAAACTCATGAAAACCAAAAACATACCTGAAGCTCACCAAGATGCATTTAAAACTGGTTTTGCGGAAGGTTTTCTGAAAGCTCAAGCACTCACACAAAAAACCAATGGTAAGTTGATTTGAAACCGTCCATGTTTGAGAAGAGTAACTGAAAGGAAGTCATAGTCCTACATTTAAGTTTTAAGTAACTTTTCTAAGACCATCTGTCTTTCTATTGATTAAATTCTACTACATTTGTAACTTGATCTATGTAGAAATAGAGATACTGCTGATGGTTTCCCTTTCTCAAGAGAGAAAACGAATTGGAGAAAAGGAAGTGTGAATGGTTTAAAGGTTTTTGTTTCTTTGTTTTTTGTTTGTGTTTGTTTTTGAGACACGGTCTTGCTTCATTGCCTAAGCCAGAGTGCAGTGGTGCAATCACGGCTCATTGCAGCCTTAACTTCCTGGGCTCAAGTGATCCTCTCACCTCAGCCTCCTGAGTAGCTAGGACCACAGGCGTGTGCCACCATGCCCAGCTAATTTTTGTAGAGATGGAATTTTGCCATGTTGTCCAGGCTGGTCTTGAACTCCCGGGATCAAGTGATCCTCCTGCCTTGACCTCTTAAAGTGTGGGGATTACAGGCATAAGCCCACCTTGCTTGGCCTTAATGAAGTTTTTGATAATAGGGTACTTACAGGAAATCATAGCAGTTGTGAAAAGAATGCCAGATTCCAAAATTGGATGTGATGAAATGTGATTATCAACAATAACCAAATGTTTACATTTCATTGAGCTGTCATTTTTTTTTTTTTTTTTTGTTACGGAGTGTCGCTCTGTCGCCCGGGCTGGAGTGCAGTGGCCGGATCTCAGCTCACTGCAAGCTCCGCCTCCCGGGTTCACGCCATTCTCCTGCCTCAGCCTCCTGAGTAACTGGGACTACAGGCGCCCGCCACCTCGCCCGGCTAGTTTTTTGTATTTTTTAGTAGAGATGGGGTTTCACCGTGTTAGCCAGGATGGTCTTGATCTCCTGACCTCGTGATCCGCCCGTCTCAGCCTCCCAAAGTGCTGGGATTACAGGCTTGAGCCACCGCGCCTGGCCGAGCTGTCATATTTAATTAATGTCATTTGATGTAAAGCTTTTTCTTTCTACCCTAGATTCCCTAAGGCGAACCCGTCTGATTCTCTTCATTCTGCTGCTATTCGGCATTTATGGACTTTTAAAAAATCCATTTTTATCTGGTAAAAGCTTTTTTTATTTATCTAACTTGTTAGTTTCTTATTCCTTTAAATACATGATTCCTTTTAATGCCTAATCTAACCCTTAAAGAAAGAACACATTAATGTTTATAGTTCTAGAATTAGGCTTTCATTCCTAGTAGTGGTTAGTTTCCCAAATTTTAGAAAATGATACCTATCCAATTATAAAGTTTAAAAATTATCCTGGTCAACAGGGTGAAAGGAAAGTAAATTAATTGAAAAATTATGTAGAAGAATTTTATAATAGCAGTGCAAACTGAAATAGTTTTCTGTTTCAAAGATAAACTAGTAAATTTAATTTATTAATAATATCATATTAAATGTTCCCCTTTTTTTTAGTTTGCTTATCTGAAATTAAGCAATAGTGTCAGACTTAAGTGGTTCCAATTACCTTTTCCACTACTATGTAGTTTTCACCCTGTGTTCTCTATTCTCTTTAATATCAAGGATATGTACAGATTCTTAAAAAATACTTTGTGGGCTAAAGCTGTTAGTATTCATTCTAGAATTACTATTTTAAATTTGTTTTCTCAGTTTCTATGTTCTTGATTTATTAAGCATTTCTTCTTAACCCTGAATTTTGCCAGCTCATTTTTCAGCCTATCTTAACAGTATTTTGGGCTTCTTTTGAGGAAATTAGAAATTGCTCAGTTTACTCATTTATAACTGCTCTAGTTTGGAATTTTCTACCTGAGTGGGAAAGACTTAAGAAATTCTTGTAATAGTTCTCCAAAATTGATCTCTAGTATTTTACTGTCCTATCAGACTTTTTCTGTCTTGCTTGTCAGACTTAATGATGTCATAATTGATAGGTCATTTGAGGGCAAGTAGTAACAGTTGTCAGAAGACGACGACTACATGAAAAATATCATAATGTATTAAGCCCATGTGTGTCAGTGTTTTTTGCTAACTGTAAGGCAATGTATTTCAAAGTGTAGACCTGTGACCAGTTATATCAGAATAATCAAAGTGTTTGTTAAAAATGCAAATTCTCCTGGGCCCTGTGCTGTGGCCTGAGAACCTGCATTTTAACATATTTCTCAAGTGAATTTTATTCACACCAGAGTTTGAGAAACTTTGTTCTATCATTAGATACTACAATGAGAAGTGGAAAATAATTCTTGATTTTATTAACTGAAAAGTACAAATGTCTTTTTATTTTATGTTATTTTATTTATTTATTTATTTTCAGTTGGAGTCTTGCTCTGTTGCCCAGGCTGGAGTGCAGTGGCACGATCTCGGCCCACTGCAATCTCCACCTCCCGGGGTTCAAGTGATTCCCCTGCCTCAGCCTCCTGAGTAGCTGGGACTACAGGCCTGTGCCACCATGCCCAGCTAATTTTTTGTATATTTAGTAGAGACGGGGTTTCATCATGTTAGCCAGAATGGTCATGATCTCCTGACCTCGTGATCTGTCTGCCTCAGCCTCTCAAAGTGCTGGGATTACAGGTGTGAGCCACTGTACCCAGTCTTTATTATTTTTTAATTTTTATTTTTTTAAATTGATTAAGAAAGTAAAGTAATAAAAGAATGACTACTCCATAGGCAGAGCAGCCAAAATATGTCTTTTTAATGTGAATCACTTACTCTTTGAAGATGGTTTAGAAATCCAGAAGACCTAGTTTCTGTTCCTCACTCTGATTTGATATGTGAAGTTAGGTCTCTTAGACATTTAATTTTTCTAGGCTTTGCTTTCTTGCATCTAAAAAAATCAGGTGATTGGAATGTTATTAATCTATCAAATATAAACATTTCTTTTCTTCCCTTTAGTCCGCTTCCGGACGACAACAGGGCTTGATTCTGCAGTAGATCCTGTCCAGATGAAAAATGTCACCTTTGAACATGTTAAAGGCGTAAGTTAAGAAGATTGCCTTGCCTTCTTCATACATTCTCTAATTGATACACTATATAAGGTGGATATTTGATTCTATAGTGTATGCTAGAATAGGTAAAAATTGTATCCAAAAGTATTAGAAACAATATTTTGGGATAAATATTAATAGTCAAGGATCCAATCTTGCTTTATGACAGGGGACAGTATAATTTATGAAGGAGCAACCTGGTGTAGTGGAGTGAATGTGGACTTCAGAGTCAAGCTGACTAACATTTGAAATTCATTTTTATACTTATTAGCTATGAGACCTTGAAGAAATTACTTTAGATCCTGACAGATAATGTATGTGCTTGACACATAGTAGATAGTTAATAAATGGTCCTTCTTTACCTGTTCCTCTTATTGATCTTTGTAACTCCGGTATCTAAAACATATTAAACAATGTATATTTCTTGAATGAATAGAATGGATAAATGCTAGTTTACAGTCAATTAATTTGTTAAATATTTAATAGTATCTATTTAGGGCTAGGTCCTGTTTTAGCTGCTGGGATAGAATAAATAATCTTTGCGTTCTTAGAGTTTAAACTCTAAAAGCAGTAATTGGACACTGATATGTCATATAAGAAAAAGTAGACTATGTTAAAAGGTAATAAAAGTGTATGGAGGAAGAAGTAGAGCAGGGTAAAGAGGATTGGGAGTTTTGGGAGAAGGCTTATAGTTTTAAATGGAGTGTTCAAGGTGCGATTGATGGAGAAGGTGACATTTGAGAGAAAATCTGAAGGAGAAGATGGAATAAACTGCATTTATCTGAGAAAAGAACATTTCTGACCAAAGGAACAGTTTGAGCAAAGGCTCTGAATTATTAGGGTGTCTGACTTGTTCATTTTTGAAAGTAGAACCAATAGGATTTCTTATTGGAACATAAGGTGTAAGAGAAAAGAGGAGTCAAAAAGGACCACAAGATTTTTGGTCTCAACAATTATGGAAGGATAGAATTGACATTTACTGAGATTCTTGTTTTTGTTTTTGAGACAGAGTTTTGCTCTTATTGCCCAAGCTGGAGTGCAATGGCGTGACCTCGGCTCAGTGCAACCTCCGCCTCCCAGTTCAAGCGATTCTCCTGCCTCAGCCTCCAGAGTAGCTGGGATTACAGGCACAAGCCACCACGCCCAGCTAATTTTTTGTATTTTTAGTAGAAACAGGGTTTCATCATGTTTAGCCAGGCTAGTCTTGAACTCCTGACCTCAGGTGATCCGCCTGCCTCAGCCTCCCAAAGTGGTGGGATTATAGGCGTGAGCCACTGCACCTGACCTTTAGTGAGGTTTTCAAAGGCTGTGAGTGGAGCAGATTTGGGGGACAAAGGTTAGAAATTTAGTTTTAGGTATGTTAAGTGTGAGAGATACAAATGAAAGTGTTGAGTAACTTGGATATACCACTTTGGAGGTATGGGAGAGGTCTGAGCTAGAATTAAAAATCGGAGATTATATTTATATGTATGTTAAGTCTACATGTTTGGATGAGATCACCCAGGAAGTGAGTGTAACCAGAAGAGAGATCTAAATACTGCGTTATAGAGCACTTGAAGGTTCACAAGACAGAGAAGAGAAGCCAGGAACCCAGGTGAAAAGGAGCTGCCAGTGAGTTAGGTGAGAATGGTGTCCTGGAAGAAAATATTTCTGATGAGGGGAGTGATCAGCGACGTGAAATGCTGTTGATGGGCCAAGTGACAACTAACCATTTGATTTAGCAGTAAGTCATTGGTTTACCTGATAAAGAGCAATTTTAGGGGAGTAGCAGGGGTTAAATTCCGATTGCAATGGGTTTACAAGAGGTGGAAAGAAATGAGATGGAATAGAGGATTACAGACAATTCTTGTATTTTGTCTGACAGAAGAGCGCAGATAATTTATCTTATAATACAAAATAAAGTTGGAATGTTGGTAAACTGTTGGGTGGGGGTTGTGGAAATTGATAGTATCAAGGTCACCAGCAGAGAGAATATGGATGGGAGAGGAGGAATGAGTGGTTATTGGAGGAAGTAAATTGTGCAGGAATAGGAGAATGAATGGAAACGGGAAATAAAACTGTTGGGCTCACTTGAAATTTTGGATCATGAATTTATATTAAGGCAAGTCAAAATGAGTCGTTTTTCTACTGATTTTCTATTTCTTTTATCTCTTCCAAATGTGAATTCTGCAACTTTAGTACCACACTGTGCTCTTCTCTGTGCTTTGCCATTATATCTGCTCTATTATATTTGATTTCTGAGAACTGTAGTGGCTGGGCAATTATCTTTTAGGAATGTTTTAGAAGAAATTCTTCCTGCAGGAGGGATTTGAAGTACATGATCTGAGGACTCTTACAACTCTGAAGAGATTGGTTATGTTATTTCTGCTTTTCCTCTTTACATATTCATGTCTCTGTTTATACATAACCATGTTTTTTCAACCTCGACTATTGGGGAATAAGGCATTGGGAATCATTATGATAGTTTTACACCAAGCAGTTCTTTCCTTTCCTTTCCAGTTTAAATGGCTATGAGCCCTGTTGGAAATGTATAAAGGGAACAATTGAGGAAGAGGTTGGTGCAGTGATTATTTGAAAACTTCAGTCATCAGTGTGGAGGGCCCTTCTCATTGTGTTTGAGGTCTGCATGCCTTTTCTAAATTGAGCCTGTATTAAGGCTGAGGTCAGATAGAGCATTGTTATTTTCTGCCTGCAATGTATGTACATACTTACTGAATATACCACACTTCCACCTCTTTTGAGAGAATTTTGTTTGTTTGTTTGTTTGAGACAGGGTCTCGCTCTCTTGCCCAGGCTGGAGTGCAATGGCATGATCTTGGCTCGCTGCAGCTTTGACCTTCTGGGCTCAAGTGATCCTCCTGCCTTAACCTCCCTTGTAGTTGAGACCACAGGCATGCACCACCACACTTGACTAATTTTTTAATTTAATTTTATTATTCTTTCTAGACAGGGTCTGGCTCTATCACCCAGACTGAAGTGCAGTGGTGTGATCTTAGCTCACAACAACCTCCTCCTCCTGGGCTCAAGCCATCCTCTTGCCTCAGCCTCCCAGGTAGCTAGGACTACAGGCGTATGACCCTACGCCTGGCTAATTTTTGTATTTTTTTTGTAGAGTCAGGATTTAGCTGTGTTGCCCAGGCTGGTCTTGATCTCCTGGGCTCAAGTGATCCACGCATCTTTGCCTCCCAGAGTGCTGGGATTACAGGCATGAGTCACCGAGCCCAGCTGATTTATCCTTCTCCTTCTTCTTCCTCCTCTTCCTCTTCCTCTTGTTCTTCTTCTTCCTCTTTTTCCTCCTCCTCTTCTTCCTTTTCTTCCTCTTCCTCTTCTTCCTCCTCTTCTTCTTTCCTTTTCCTTTTCCTCCTCCTCCTCTTCCTCCTCTTCCCTCTTCTTTCTTCCTCCTTTCTTCTCCTTCTCCTCCTCCTTCTCCTCCTTCTCTTTCTTCCTCCTCCTCCTCCTCCTCCTTCTTCTCCTCCTCCTTCCTTCTCCTCCTCCTCCTCCTCCTCCTCCCTTCTTCTCCTCCTCCTCCCTTCTTCTCCTCCTCCTCCTCTTCCTTCTTTTCCCCCTCCTCCTCCTCCTCTTTTTGGGTGCAGGGGGTAGAGACAGAGCCTCACTTTGTTCTCCAGTCTAGTCTCAAACTCCTGAGCTCAGGTAGTCCTCCTATCTCAGCCTCACAAAGTGCTTGGGTAGTAGACATGAGCCATCATGCCTGTCCTGGAATGTGGGGATTTCTGAGTACTAAACTAAAGCCATGCTGATGACTAAGCATAATGAAAGTAGACATCACAATTAAGGTAGATTCTTACCAAGTTTTCCATGCTAAAATGAATCAATTTTATAATTGCTGTAAGACCTAAATTTATATAGAGCAAAGTAATTCAGTAGCATTTACCAGAACAGATTTACCATTAGGTAGTTCCTGTGATCAAATTTTTACCAAATCTCAAAGAGCTTGTATGGGAATGTCATTTCCTTACCTACAATTTCTGAATATGTGGGCATACTTAATATATATAGTCTTAAAAATATTAATACGGGCATTTAATAACTTGATTCATTACCTTGATCCCATTAACTATTTTCCTTGATAGATCTTAGGTTCCTGAAGTGGGAATTCTCTTGCCACAGAATTTGGGGAGAGAATATAGTTTATTTGAGTAGCAAATTACGTTTAATCTCTTCTTTATTCCTACAAGTTAAAATTGGAATTATATCTGTTATTTTGACCAAATACAATTTAGTCATCTTTTAGTACATGGATATTATCTTTCAAGTTCTCTTTTAATAAACCAGCCAAGTCTTTTTTTAAACCATAAATTTCATTGAAGTTTAACAAATTCACACAGAAGTGCACAAATCCATAAATTTTCACAAAGTGTCTGTGTTATAAGTACCCAGCTCAAGGAACAGAACGTTATCAGAAGCCTAGAACCTCCTTGATGCCTCCTTCTGGTTACTGGCCTAGGGACAGTTTCCTATCTAATACCATATGTGAATTTTCCCTATTTTTGCATTTTAGATAAACGTAATCCATATAGAATATCCTTTTTTGTATGAGGCTTGTTTTATTCAACATGTTTGTGAGATCCATCTATGTTATTTGGAGTTGAGGTTTATTTATCCTTACTGCATAGTATCCCATTATGCGAATACCACAACACGGTACAGTTATACTACTTGAGAGTGGACATTTGAATTATTTCTAGTTTTTGGTTCAAATACAGCTGGTGTGAATATTCTTGTACAAGTTTCTTGGTGAAAATATGTACACACTTCTCCTGGACCTAGGAGTGGACAAAGCTTTGTTTTCTATTTTTTTAAATACTCTGTGAAAAGAAAATGCTATGTTTTTAACCATTAACTTGATTAAAACATTAGTAAATTTTTAATTATTTAATCAGAATAACTTTCAAAGATCATTCCAAGTCTAACAAAAAAACGTAACTTTGCTCTTTAATAAGTATAATATTTCCTGGAAATATATCTGGGAATTTTTTTTGAAATAATAAGTGAATCTTGACATTAATTGGACATTTTCAGAACGCCGTTTGGCATAAAACTATGTTTCCTGTTTTAGTATGCTCCTCTCTAGGTACTTTCTTTTTAACCCTGTCCAATGTACTTGACTTTTGTTTTCTCACTGAGAAAATGAAAGTTCAGAATGATTTTTTAGGGATAGTAAGGAGACTTTGCATAATTGGAAATAATGGTCAGGGGAAAACCCTTTGTGTGTTTTATAAGGGGCCATTTTTGTATGCTGCTTTTACTGAAACAAAGAAGGCCAGGTTAATTCCATATCCAAATTAAATTTATGATTTTCAAAAGGGCTAATCTCACCAAATGTGTTCATAATCTAAAGTTATTTGGAAAATTGTGTCACTTTAGGTGGAGGAGGCTAAACAAGAATTACAGGAAGTTGTTGAATTCTTGAAAAACCCACAAAAATTTACTATTCTTGGAGGTAAACTTCCAAAAGGTAAGATAATCTTTTTTTTTTTTTTTACCATGATTTGATGGAAAAAACAAAAACAAACAAAAAAAATCTATATTACTTATTTAATGTTAACTGATTAAAGTTTAAGTCTTAATTGCTGTTTTACAAAATAGATGTTCATTCTGAACATACAATTCCACAGCCTTTTTTTGGTAACTGCAAATTTTTATATACTTTCAAATTTTAAGTAAAGTTATAAGAATAGTACATAGAATGTTCCTCAAATCCTTAACTTAGACTCACAAATTTTTAATATTTAACTTCCTTTTTTTAGACCCAGGCTTGACTGCAGTGATGCAATCATGGCTTACTGTATCCACAACCTCCCGTGTTCAGGCGGCACTCCCAAGTAGCTGAGACCACAGGCACACACTACCATGCCACCTAATTTTTGTATTTTTTGTAGAGATGAGGCCATGTTGCCCAGGCTGCTCTTGAACTCTTGGGCTCAAGCCATCCACTCACTTTGGCCTCCAAAATACTAGGACTGCAGGCATGAGCCAGCGCACTCAACCTAGCTCCATTTAAAAAATCATTCACTTTGTCTCTTTACGTATATATAAATATAAAAATTATTTGTAAATAGATTTTTAATTATTTGAGAGTAAAATGTAAACATAATCACCCCTAAGAGTGTATTTTCTAAGAATAAGGATATTCTTCTACATAACTCCAGAATTATATTAAAATTAGGACATTAGTTGGGTGTGGTGGCTCACAGCTTTAATCTCAGCATTTTAGGAGGTGGAGGCGGGTGGATTACTTGAGGTCAGGAGTTCGAGACCAGTCTGGTCTTGAAGCAGGGGCCATTGGAGTTCCAGCCAGCCTGGCCAACTTGGTGAAACCCTGTCTCTACTAAAAATACAAAAAAAAAAAAATTAGCCGGGCTTGGTAGCAGGCGCCTGTAATCCCACCTGCTCGGGAGGCTGAGGCAGGAGAATCGCTTGAACCTAGGAGGTGGAGGTTGCAGTGAGCCAAGATTGTGCCCACTGCACTCCAGTCTGGGAGACAAAGCGAGACTCTGTCTCAAAAAAAAAAAAAAAAAAAAGGACATTTAACATACATATACAAAACCATTATCAAATTTAGAGTCTATATTCAAATTTCAGCATTTGTTCCAATAGTATCCTTTGTAGGATACCCTCTTCCCCAGTTCAGGACCCAATCCAGGATCACAGATAACATTTAGGCTTTTATTTTATTTTATTTATTTATTTATTTATTTATTTATTTATTTATTTTTTAATGAAACAGTTCCTTAGCCTTTTTGTGAGGGAGTGGGGAGAAGAGGATCTTTCATGATTTTTACACTTGTAAAGAGTACTTGCCTAATTATTTATAGAATGTTCTCAGTTTAGCTTTGTCTGATGTTTTCTCGTGGTTAACATGACTTTTAATGACTTCATAGTATCCTTCTAGTTTATGGTTGTATCACAGTTTAACCATTTATATTGAATTTTTGTATGGTTTCCAGTGTTTTATTAAGAATGGTACTGTGGTTCATCTTAATTCAAGGCTTTGCCTGCATGCTTAATTATTTCCTTGGAATAAATTTCTAGAAATGGAATTGCTGAGTTAAAGGATGACACTCCTTTTTAATGCTTGTTTTTATACTGTCACCTGTCTCTACTGAGAATACAACAGTGTATGAAATTATTTGAAGTAACCTTTGCTAATTTAGGGTACATTTATTAAATCAGTGCTAATCACATCACAGAGTGAATGTTTAAAACCGTAGAAGTATTAATAGTTACCCTCTTCCTCTTTCTAATCACAAGGAGTATTTTAAATTTATAGAAAATTTGAGTAGTATAAATTTGTAGAAAAATCTTCAGATACCAAGATGTAATCCACAGAAATTAATATGATTTACACCAGTTAAGTATAACTAAAACATGACAATACTAGGATAGTCTTAAAGCTATTTTTGAGCTTGAGCTTTCTTTAAAATTTTTATGTTAAAATGCAGCAAACATGTATGTAAATAAGTTTTGTTGCTTTTTAAATGTAATATGTATATTTATAAAAACATATAAATCAGGCAATTCTGTTTTTCTAACGTGAAAATCTTTGATATTATGAAAATTTTCAAACATATGGAAAACCTTGAAAGAACAGTACAATTAACATCCATATCCTATCCACTTAGACTTAACAATTAACATTCTGTCATATTTGCTTTCTGTGTATGTGTGTATTTTTCCTCCTGAACATTTGAAAGAAAACTAAACATCACCTACTTGACATCTAAAGACTTTGTTGTACATCATCTAAGAATAAGGACAGTGTCCTAAATAAACATAATAACCTTATCCCACCAAAGAAAATTAACACTATTTCCTTAATATCATGTACTCTCCAATCTTATTTAAACGTTTTCACCAAATGTCTCTAGAATATTTTGTTCTTTATGAAAAAGCATCAAATCAAGATTCATTAATTACATTTGGTTGTTTAGTCTTTTAATCTATTTCTACATGAATTTTAATCTTTTTTAGTGATAAATGGGTTCATATTTTTTTACCTCAAGATTCTCCCTGTCATGTCTGTTGTTGATATGCAATATTTATATGATACAGGAACATTAATTTTGGACAAGATTCTGAAGTGAACCATTAGCAGAGACAAGTATGGTTTGCTGTGTTTCAAAATACTGGTTTGTGGTGTGACCTCAGCCTGAAAATTATATAAATGAATAATTATTTGTTCTATAGGTTCATATCGAGGGATTTAAAAATAATACTTTGAATTATTCTTGTTTTCATTTTCTTTTAGGAATTCTTTTAGTTGGACCCCCAGGGACTGGAAAGACACTGCTTGCCCGAGCTGTAGCAGGAGAAGCTGACGTTCCTTTTTATTATGCTTCTGGATCCGAATTTGATGAGATGTTTGTGGGTGTGGGAGCCAGCCGTATCAGAAATCTTTTTAGTACGTTTTGATGTATCTTTCATACAGTGCTAAATTTTGTTAAGGGAAGTGTGTATCTTACCCTTCTTTGCTAATTACTTTTTTTCTTCCTTTTTTTAATTTCTATTTTTTCGGGCCTCCAGCTTTGCATGCTAATTAGTTTTGATAGCTAAAATAGCCATTGTGGGATCTTGGTTTGGGTAACTTTTACTATATGAATTAGCTAGTAGAAGTGCAAGGATGAGGTTGAAGGCTACCAAAAAAAATTTTTTTTTTTTTCCCATTTTATTCATCAGTTTTATAGTATGGAATTAAGAAGTAATTAGCTTCAAACCTGATTGTATATGATATTTGTATAGCTAGGAAGAATGAATGCCCAACTGTTTTTATTTTATATCATTTTCTTTGGTATAGTTTTTTCCCCCTGAAGCTACTATTCTTAAATCAGTAAAAAATGACCTCCTTTTGTGTATTTTCTTCCAATGAATATTTTTTGTTGGCTTTTGACAGTTTTATCGGATTTTAATATTTATCTCATTTTGTTCAAAACTGTTGACTTCTTTCAGCTTATTTGAATGTTTTTTGTTTTCTTAGGGGAAGCAAAAGCGAATGCTCCTTGTGTTATATTTATTGATGAATTAGATTCTGTTGGTGGGAAGAGAATTGAATCTCCAATGCATCCATATTCAAGGCAGACCATAAATCAACTTCTTGCTGAAATGGATGGGTAATTGAATCTTCTTTTGTCTTAGAATATGGTGATGCCTCCCAGCATTTGATATATGTAGAATTGATCTTATGCAAATTATTTCCATAAGGCATTTCATATCTAGAGATACGAAAAATGTGATGTGTATAGGAAACAGAGTAGTCCGTCATGCAAGAACACAAGACAAGCTTTTTCTGTCAGTATTGTATTGTTTTCATTACTAATTGGATATTTGAATGTCAACTCATCTTATTTAATTGATGGTATTTATATTCTTTTTCATTTATTGTTATACTTACGACAGAAAAACAATGATTCATGCTGAGACTAGTAGTCTATTTGAAGGAATACACTCCTTTCTACACAGTTTATGACTAGCTTTGAATGTGGCAGCTTTCAAGCTTACATCAATGAGCCAGGCGCGGTGGCTCAAGCCTGTAATCCTAGCACTTTGGGAGGCCGAGACGGGCGGATCTCGAGGTCAGGAGATCGAGACCATCCTGGCTAACACGGTGAAACCCCGTCTCTACTAAAAAAAATACAAAAAACTAGCCGGGCTGCAAAGAATTGCAGAGGCGAGAGTGGCGGGCGTCTGTAGTCCCAGCTACTCTCGGGAGGCTGAGAGCAGAAATGTAGTAAACCCGGGAGGCGGAGCTTGCAGTGAGCTGAGATCCGGCCACAGCACTCCAGCCTGGGTGACAGAGACTGACGACTCCGTCTCAAAAAAAAAAAAAAAAAAAAAAAAAAAAGCTTACATCAATGTTCATAATATAAAAAAGCAAAAAAAAAAAAAAAAAAAGCTTACATCAATGTTCATAATATAAAAAGCAAGAGGTGATGTTGCTTTGAAAGAAGTATCTTAAAGATAATATATAAGACATTTTGAAACCACATAGGAAGCCCAGGAGTGAATAACTTGAATTGGTATACTTGAATTTCTTCAAAAATTAACCAGGTACCTAAGCTTTTTATATCAGGTTATCTTTTCCTACATAGACCAGACAATTGTGAAGGTATGTAGTCACAGATGACTGGTGGTTTATTATCAGTCTCTTTTCTTGGCTGTTATTTAATTAATGAAGCCAGGCATGGTGGCTCACGCCTTTAATCCCAGGACTTTTGGAAGCCAGGGTGGGAGAACTGCTTGAGGCTAGGAGTTCAAAACCAGCCTGGTCAATATAGCAAGACCCTACCTCTACTAAAAATAAAAATAGTCGCTGGGCATGGTGACTCAAGCCTATAATCCTAGCACTTGGGAGGCTGAGGCAGGTGGATCACTTGAGGTCAGGAGTTCAAGACCAAACTGGCCAACATGGTGAAACCCCATCTCTACTAAAAATGTAAGAATTAGCTGGGCATGGTGGCAGCCGCCTGTAATCCTGGCTACTCAGGAGGCTGAGACATGAGAATTGCTTGAACCTGGGAGATGGAGGTTGCAGTGAGCACCATTGCACTCCAGCCTGGGTGACAGTGAGACTCTGTCTCAAAAAAAAAATAGTGGCTTGTACCTAGAAATTGGGTAGAAAAAATTTAAAAATAAATAAAAATAAATAAATTAGGTATGTTGGCATGCACCGACTGTCATTCCAGCTACTTGAGAGGTTGGGGCAGAAGGTTCACTTCAACCCAGGAGTTTGAGGCAGCAGTGAGCTATGATCATACTGGTGTGTTCCAGCCTAGGCCACAAAGCGAGTCCTAGTCTCAAAAAAGGAAAACAAACCAGTTTTGTGTAGAGCATTTCTACATGTGTGCTGTGCTTCAGTGTTAGTGAAAAGATACTGTTTTTTTTTTTCCTATATAGTTTTAAACCCAATGAAGGAGTTATTATAATAGGAGCCACAAACTTCCCAGAGGCATTAGATAAGTAAGTATTAAAAGAAGATTTTTGTGAAGTACCTGCTACAAAATTATGCTAAAAGAAGTCAATTGCAAAAGATCACATTGTATTATTCCATTTATATTGCAATACCCAGAATAAGCAAATTCACAGAGACAAATTGGGTTAGCAGTTACCAGAGGTTAGGGAGAATAGGAGATGGCTGTCATTGGATATGGGATTTCTTTGCCAGGGATGGGAATATTCTAAAATTAGATTGTGGTGATGGTTGTACAATTCTGAATATATTAAAAATATATATATCATTAAAAATCACTGACCACTTTAAATTCTGTTATGTGAATTACATCTCAATAAAACTTAAAATTTATTTGTTAGATGTCACAAAAGTTTTATGTAGAAAGGATTTTAAAAATAAATTCACTGTAGTAGTATAACTAGGTTTAAAGTTACTATGAAAAAAATTGTATTGTAGAAGTTATTCATATTTTCATTTGATCAGTAGTTTGTCACTGCCTAAGACTCTAGTCTAACATACATTCTGTGCTTAGCAGTTGAGATGGATGTGTGGTTCTTATCCACAATAATAGTTTATTGTAGAATTATTTGTTCCTGGACTGAGTTACTTGCATGCTTTTGTTTCTGAGGGGTAGGCTACCTAGGTACACACATGTATCTGAATGAACCTTTGTTCTGCCCTCTGGTTATTGACACTGTTACTTGAGCCATGTTTTAAAAGGAACTATCTGAATATTTATGTACAAAATTCCATCTGCACTCTGGCTGCCATTGGCATCCCAGTCATGTCATTAGGGTGTCAGTCCTGCTGACTTTGAGCTTAAATTGTTTATTAATTTATATTTTCCTTTTGCATTCTTCCTGTAGTGCCTTAATACGTCCTGGTCGTTTTGACATGCAAGTTACAGTTCCAAGGCCAGATGTAAAAGGTCGAACAGAAATTTTGAAATGGTATCTCAATAAAATAAAGTTTGATCAATGTAAGTCTAATTCTATCAAAAGAAACATTTGTCATTTATGTCAAGTGGTAATATACCACTCACCCTGTTTGTGGTCTTTTCATGATAAATGTATTAATATTAAAAGACCAGTTCATTTTTGTCTTTTTTTTTTTTTTTTTCCGTTACTATGTTCACTTAAAAGTCCATTCCTTAGTGTATATCCAGGAGATTATATTGTTTTGAACCCTGATTCTAAAGAAAGGTTTTTTTAGAGTATTCAGACAGATATTTGAGGGTATATATATACACACACACACATTTTTTTAAGATGAATGTAAAATGCAAAATAATAGAAAAAGCTGCAGAAACAGTAACTCATGATATAGTCAGTATGGGGCCAAAAGAGAAGAAAGCAAATTGTAAAACAAAACACATGGAAATTTATTACCCACTTGAGTAATAAATGAAATTATTAAAGCTGCAGTAGTTTCAGAGATAGCTGTATCAATTCATTAAACTATATATGTTTCCTATAATAAGGGCAACTGTTATGTCCAAAGTTTCCAGATGAAATTGAAAGAAAAAAGTGTCTAAACTATGGCTCAGAATAGCTAGCTATTTTCTTTTTTCCCTCGGAATGTAGTTTTTGTTTGTTTGTTTGTTTTGAAACAGAGTTTCGCCCTTTTTGCCCAGGCTGGAGTGCAGTGTCACAATCTCGGCTCACTGCAACCTCCACCTCCCAGGTTCAAGTGATTCTCCTGCCTCAGCCTCCTGAGTAGTTGGGATTACAGGTGCATGCCACCATGCCCAGCTAATTTTTGTATTTTTAGTAGAGATGGGGTTTCACCATGTTGGCCAGGCTGGTCTCGAACTCCTGACCTCCAGTGATCTACCTGCCTCAGCCTCCCAAAGTGCTGGGATTAAAGGCGTGAGCCATCACACCCGGCCCGAATGTGAGTTCTGTGTGAAGAGTTTTCTTTTACCTGTTTTCGACTTTTAATGTCGTGTTCTCCTTTTACATTAGCCGTTGATCCAGAAATTATAGCTCGAGGTACTGTTGGCTTTTCTGGAGCAGAGTTGGAGAATCTTGTGAACCAGGCTGCATTAAAAGCAGCTGTTGATGGAAAAGAAATGGTTACCATGAAGGAGCTGGAGTTTTCCAAAGACAAAATTCTAATGGGTAGGTTTCCTTTGTTTTTTTTTTCTGTCTTGTCTTTCCATTGTGTTAGATAATTCATTTGGGGCAAATACCCTATTCAAAGAGCTAAAGCCATGGCTATGTTGAATCTAATCTTACTCTAAAACTTCAGTGTCTGGGTTTTCAAGATTTGTAATAAATGATTTTACAGAATTACCAATTTAACAGTCAAATGTCATTAAACAGTAACATTTTCTTGACAATACTCTTGTCAGTGATACAGAACTGATTTTATAGTGTACCACATTTATTAGTTTTGTCTCTTTCTTAGAAAACCTTTTTTTCTGACTGGAAAGTTTAAAAAAGTGATGGGAACATGAAAATATATACTTGACAACACCACAATTTGGCCTTTTATAAAACAAATATATTCTAGTGGCTTATATAATTGTATAGTTCAACTGTTGGTGGGGAGATGAGGCACATATACATTTCCTCTTGTCGGACATTGCTGCTAAAAAGAATAGTTAACTTTATTCTGTGCTTAATTTTGATTTTAAATCTTGGATTGACTTAAAAGCACATTAGTTATGATATTCTTGTTAAATTGGAAGTTTATTTTATAGAAATAGAAATAAGTTTTCCCTTTTGATGTAAGAATTAAGATGATAGTTTTGACAGTTTTGGTTTGCAGATAAATTGTTAAACTTTGTATGTGTTATGGAATGAATTCTGCCCATTTTAAAAAACTTTTACTCTGTAGACTGGGCGTGGCGGCTCACACCTGTAATCCCAGCACTTTGGGAGGCCGAGGCAGGAGGACCGCGTGAGCCCAGAATCGTTGGAGTTCAAGATCAGCTGGGCAACATAGCGAGACTCCATCTCTACCAAAAATTTAAAAAATTAGCTGGGTGGGGTAGCACGCGCCTGTGGTCCCATCTACTCGGGAGTCTGAGGTGGGAGAATTGCTAAAAAGTCCAAGAAGTTAAAGCTACAGTTAGCTGTGATTATGCCACTGCACTCCAGCCTGGGTTACAGACCCTGTTTAAAAATTTAAAAAATTGCTATTGCTAAAAAATTACTAAAGCTAGGCACAGTGGCACATGCCTGTAATCCCAGCACTTTGGGAAGCTGAGGTGGGTGGCTTACTTGAGGCTAAGAGTTGGAGTGAGCTATGACAAAAATGACTTTAAGGAGAATGAGTTTTTTGTTTTTTAATATTAATCCAGTATCAGATACATTCACCCCTCAGTATCCACGGAGGGGGTGGGGATTGGATCCAGGTCCCATGTGGATACCAAAATTCAAGGATGCTCAAGTGTCTTTTTTAAAATGGTGTACTATTTGTGTATAACATACATAATTCTCCTGTATACTTGAAATCATCTCTAGATTGCTAATACAATGGAAATGGCTCTGTAAATAGTTGTTATACTGTATTTTTCATTTGTATTTTTTTTATTGTTCCTCTTCCCCATACTTTTAATCCTTATTTGGTTGAATCTATGGATGCAGAATCTGCTGATAGGAAGGGTGGAGTGTATTTGATTTGCAGACAAGAATGTGTTTTGTTGATTTAAATATACCTTTCTAGTGCAGTATTTACTCAATTAAATTTTTATCTTAGGGCCTGAAAGAAGAAGTGTGGAAATTGATAACAAAAACAAAACCATCACAGCATATCATGAATCTGGTCATGCCATTATTGCATATTACACAAAAGATGCAATGCCTATCAACAAAGCTACAATCATGCCCCGGGGACCAACACTTGGACACGTAAGTTTTTTGTAGCATCTCGCCCTGTCGCCCAGTCTGGAGTGCAATGGCATAGTCTCAGCTCACTGCAGCTTCTGCCTTCCGGGTTCAAATGATTCTCTCGCCTCAGCCTCCCAAGTAGCTGGGATTACAGGCGCCCACCACCATGCCCAGCTAATTTTTGTGTTTTTAGTAGAGATGGGGTTTCACCATGTTGGCCAGGCTGGTCTTGAACTCCTGACCTCAGGTGATCCAGCCGCCTCAGCCTCCCAAAGTGCTGGGATTACAGGCATGAACCACCATGGCCTGCCTAATTCTTAAATATCTAATTACTGTGCTGTCCCAAAAGGGAAAACATTATGTTTTGCAGCAACTGATTCAGTAGTTTTTCTAAGATTTTTCTCATTTAGTATAAGTTTATCAGATCTTTCAAAATTGTAGACATTTTAAAAATTTCTGTGCACCTGGGGAGAAAACAGTCCTATTGCAGCATTATCCACCTATTGTTGTTGCTTTATAAAGGATGTTTTATTCTCTAATTGCTGGTTTTTCATCAGTCCCCTGATGACCAGCTTTCAGCATGGTATAAGAGAGCTAAATGATAATTCTGGTTTGTATTTTTTTATTTTGCCCAGTCTTATGGTGCTGAAATTCTGGTTTTTAATGTAACTATCTCAGAACTGTATCTGAATTTCTTTTTTTTTAAATCTTCATTTTATTTTATATTGATGGGGTCTCACTATGTTGCCCAGGCTAGTCTCAAACTCCTGGACTCAAGTGATCCTCCCACCTCAGCCTCCCAAAGTGCTGAGACTACAGGTATGAGCCACTGCGCCCAGCCTGTATCTGAATTCTTTCCTTATATTTTATTTTATTTATTTATTTATTATTTTATTTTATTTTTGAGATGGAGTTTCATTCTTGTTGCCCAGGCTGGAGTGCAATGGCGTGATCTCAGCTCACCGCAACCTCCATCTCCCAGCTTCAAGCAACTCTCCTGCCTCAGCCTCCCGAGTAGTTGGGATTACAGGCATGCGCCACCATGCCCAGCTAATTTTGTATTTTCAGTAGAGACAGGGTTTCTCCATGTTGGTCAGGCTGGTCTTGAACTCCCAACCTCAGGTGATCCACCCGCCTCAGCCTCCCAAAGTGCTGGGATTCAGGCGTGAGCCTCCACGCCTGGCCTCTTTTTTTACTTTTTATCTGATTGATTTTTAATCGTCTAGGTGTCCCTGTTACCTGAGAATGACAGATGGAATGAAACTAGAGCCCAGCTGCTTGCACAAATGGATGTTAGTATGGGAGGAAGAGTGGCAGAGGAGCTTATATTTGGAACTGACCATATTACAACAGGTTAGCTTTAAAGAATGGCTTTAGTTCAAATTGTATGTGGTCTTAAAGATATTTTTTAAAATTGTATGTTTTTATTTTAGGTGCTTCCAGTGATTTTGATAATGCCACTAAAATAGCAAAGCGGATGGTTACCAAATTTGGAATGAGTGAAAAGGTAATAGATTATTTTAATCCTTTTCATGTATCAAATTACGTGTCAAGTGTTGATTTGAGAGATGGTTCTGATATATAAATTGGTAATACTCACTTTTGCTCTGTCTCACTCCAAATGGATTTGAGGCTGCTTATTCTGAACATTGTTACTTTCTGAATAAAGAAAATGGAGCCTTCTCTTAGCTGCTCAGAATGAGCTGCCCAGATAGTAACTATTACTTCATGAGTTAACTAAGTGGTAAAGCAAGGTGAATTCCTTAGCTTTTCCATGTGGCATAAAAGAGCCTACTTTCTGAGTTTGGTTACTTTACTGTTTCCGTATATTTCATATTTTCATCTTATTGTTCCTTGAAGCACTACTATACTCTGAATTATGGATTTCTATATTTGAAGTAGCTGCTAAGGTTTTTCAAGAAAGTACTGAGAACCAGACTTAAAATTATTTTAGGCTGGGCAGTGTGGCTCACACCTATAATCCCAGCACTTTTGGGAGGCTGAAGAAACTGGATTGCTTGAGCCTAGGAGTGAGTTCTGGACCAGCCTGGGCAACATGGCACAACCCCATCTCTAAAAAAAATACAAAAATTAGCCAGGTGTGGTGGTGTGTGCCTATAGTCCCAGCTGCTTGGGAGTCTGAGGTGGGAGGATTCCCTGAACCCAGGAGGTCTAGGCTACAGTGAGTCCTGGTTGTGCCACCGCACTCTACCCTGGGTGACAGACCAAGACCCTGTCTCCAAAAAAATAAAAGATTTAAAATGTTCTCTCTTGCTCATATTTTTACTATTTTGATATTAGTGTTTTTTTATTTGTTTGTTTTTGAGACGGAGTCTTGCTCTGTTTCCCAGGCTGGAGTGCAGTGGCGTGATGTTGGCTCACTGCAGCCACTGCCTCCTAGGTACAAGCCATTCTCCTGCCTCTGCCTCCCAAGTAGTTGGGATTACAGTCACCTGACACCATGCCTGGCTAAACGTTACTCTTTATACTTTCAGAAGAATGTGGAAATTTCTTTGCCCTCAAATGCAGTTTTTATTTTTTATTTTTTGGAGATAGAATCTCACTCTGTCACCTAGGCTGGAGTGCAGTGGCGTAATCTCAGCTTACTGCAACCACCGACCCCTGGGTTCAACCAATTCTCCTGCCTCAGCCTCCTGAGTAGCTGTGATTACAGACACGTGCCACCATGCCCAGCTATTTTTTGTGTTTTTAGAAGAAATGGGGTTTCGCCATGTTTCCAGGCTGGTCTCGAACTGCTAACCTCAGGTGATCCACCTGCCTCGGCCTCCCAAAGTCCTAGGATTACAGGTGTGAGCCACCGTGCCCTGCCTCAAATGCATTTTATATTGTACTTCTTTCTTGTTCCTCCGTATATTTGTTTCCTTATATATAGGCTAGTACTTTCTCTTTTAAATTTATTGGTATTTGGGGGTTTTCTGTTAAATTGCTTTCTTCCTTTTGGTTTTAGCTTGGAGTTATGACCTACAGTGATACAGGGAAACTAAGTCCAGAAACCCAATCTGCCATTGAACAAGAAATAAGAATCCTTCTAAGGGTAATGATAATGTTTTTTCCTGCATATTTATTTTCTTAGGAACAATGTGCTTAAATAGTTAGGTTCTTAAAAATAACAACTGAAGGCCCTCTGTTCACTAGAAACATCATTTTATAAAACAAAGATAATAGTCACTGTGGTGTCTGGGGAAAAAATTAGAAAATAAAGATAATAGGTGCACCATTTCAGCAATGATTTAAATGTTATTAAGGCACCTCTCTCTGTTCATGAACTGGGACTTATTTTCTCCTGGACATGGGCTAAGAACAGTTATATATTGCGTGGTTGTAAAAATTCAATTCTCAGGGTAAGGGACAAAATAACTACATATTAGGTTCAGTGTATACTATGTAGGTATGGATACACTAATATCCCAGACTTCACTTCTATACAATTCATCCATGGAACCAAAAACCACTTGTACCCCATACGCTGTTGAAATAAAATATGTCTACATATAAAATTATATATAATATATAAAATTCAATTGTACTTTAGCTGCAAAACTGTAAGAGGTAATAGAATGGGAAGAGTATTGTTTATTGAATCTTTGACATGTATTCAACAAATACATTTTTTTTTTTTTTTTTATATGGAGTCTCGCTCTGTTGCCCAGGCTGGAGTGCAGTGGCATGATCTCGGCTCACTGCAACCTAAGAAATAAGTTCAGTAGATTTTTTGTTGTTGGTTTTTTGCAAGTTTTATCTTTTTTTTTTTTAAGGGGATGGGTCTTGCTATATTGCCCAGGCTGGACTTGATCTCCTGGGCTCAAGTGAACTTCCTGCCTCAACCTCCCAAGTAGCTGGGGCTACAGGCACACACCACTGTGCTTAGCTCCATGATTTCAGTTGTGGTTTTTTTTGTTGTTGTTGTTGTTTTTTGAGACAGCATCTTGCCCTGTCACTCAGGCTGGAGTGCAGTGCTGTGATCTCGGCTCATTACAATCTCTGTCTCCCAAGCTCAAGTGATCCTCCCACCTCAGCCTCCTGAGTAGCTGGGACTGGGACCGTAAGCACACACTGCCACGCCTAGCTAATTTTGTTATTTTTTGTAGAGAGCATTTCGCTATGTTACCCAGGCTGGTCTCGAACTCCTGGGCTCAAACGATTCACCTGCCTTGGCCTCCCAAAGTGCCGGGATTACAGGTGTGAGCCACCGCACCCAACCAGGCAGGTTTTAAGAGTAAGACTGACCAGCCTGGGCAACATGGCAAAACCCCATCTCTACAAAAAATAGAAAAATTAGCTGAGCGTGGTGGTGGCTCATACCTGTAGTCACAGCTACTTGGGATGAGGTGGGAGGATCACTTGAGCCCAGGGAGGTTGAGGCTGTAGTGAGCTGTGATTGCCTCACTTCACTCCAGCCTGAGCAACAGAGTGAGACTGAAAAAAAAAAAAAAAAAGAGTGACTTGAGCTGAGTGCCAGAGTCTTTAGTGAATAAGGAGTATGTTTGTTAGATGGCACAATGAAGACGGTTGGATAGCTCCATAATCAAACGGCCTGGACTTCAACAGAATAGGAAGAGTGCATTATGTAAGAGGGTAGGTTAGTAATAGTCTGAAAGAGGTGACTAGAACAAAGAGCTCAGCTCTCTACTTTGAAGTATCTAGGGTAAAGGTGAACACACAGCTTGAGAGGGCTTAAGGAATGTAGTCTCCACAGGAGGGACCATGGGTTTGATTATTTCAAGGAGGTGGAGGGAATGCTTTAGAGTACTTAAGGATACAGAAAGTTTGTATGATGGAAAGGTTTAGAGAGTGTTATAGAAGAGGTGGTCTCTGCCTTCTCAGGTGTTTATTCTCTTTTCCTTACTATTTATGTTATAATGCACAAATTATCTCTACTGTAGAATCAAGATTCTACATGATTTTATAAATATAAATAGATTTCATATTTTTTAGGGTACATAAAGTTTTTCTTTTCCCATTGACTGGTTTTTGCATCCCTACATTTACTGCTACTTACGTATCTCCTTTTCTATTTAGGACTCATATGAACGAGCAAAACATATCTTGAAAACTCATGCAAAGGAGCATAAGAATCTTGCAGAAGCTTTATTGACCTATGAGACTTTGGATGCCAAAGAGATTCAAATTGTTCTTGAGGGGAAAAAGTTGGAAGTGAGATGATAACTCTCTTGATATGGATGCTTGCTGGTTTTACTGCAAGAATATAAGTAGCATTGCAGTAGTCTACTTTTGCAACACTTTCCCCTCATTCTTGACGTGGTGTAATTGAAGGGTGTGAAATGCTTTGTCAATCATTTGTCACATTTATCCAGTTTTGGTTATTCTCATTATGACACCTAATGCAAATTAGCATCCCATGGCAAATATATTTTGAAAAAATAAAGAACTATCAGGATTTAAAACAGCTCGTTTGAGGAATGTCAATGAGTTATTAAGTTGAAAGTAACTAATGATTTTATGTTTGGTTACTGTACTAGATGTGATAAAAATTGTGCCTTTAGCCTTCTATATACATCAGTGGAAACTTAAGATGCAGTAATTATGTTCCAGATTGACCATGAATAAAATGTTTTTTAATCTAAATGTAGAGAAGTTGGGATCAAAAGCAGTCTTGGAAACACAGAGCCGGGCATGTAGCCTTTTGGCATGGTGCAGTGGCTCACACCTGTGTAATCCCAGCACTTCGGGAGGCTGAGGTGGGTGAATCACTTCAGGCCAGGAGTTCAAGACCAGCCTGGCCAACGTGGTGAAACACTGTCTCTACCAGAATAAAAAAAAAAAAAAAAAAAAAAAGGCTGGCGAAGTTGCTCATGCCTGTAATCCCAGCACTTTCGGAGGCCAAGGCGGGGCAATCACCTGAGGTCGAGAGTTTGAGACCAGCCTGGCCAACGTGGTGAAACCACATCTCTACTAAAAAATGCAAAAATTAGCTGGGCACGGTGGCAGTGCTTATAATCCCGGCACTTTTTGGGGGCTGAGGCAGGAGAATTGCTTGAGCCTGGGAGGTGGAGGTTGCAGTGAACCGAGATCGTGCCATTGCACTCCAGCCTGGGCAACAGAGAGAGGCTCTGTCTCAAAAAAAAAAAAAAAAAAAAAAAAAAAAAAAAAAAAAAATTTAAATAACTTTAAATATTAAAAAAGTAGCCAGGTGAAAAAAAAAAAAAAAAAAAAAAAAAAAAAAAAAAAAAATTTAAATAACTTTAAATATTAAAAAAGTAGCCAGGTGTGGTGGTGCATGCCTGGAATCCCAGCTACTTGAGAGGCTGAGGCATGAGAATTGCTTGAACCCGGGAGGTGGAGGTTGTAGTGAGCCAAGATCACAAGAGCCACTGCACTCCAGCCTGGGTGACAGAGTGAGACTCCCTCTCAAAAAATAAATAAATAGATAAATGATTATAACCTTTTAGAAATGCAGTGTGCATTTTCATGTTCCTTTTTTAAGCATTACTGTCACTCTCCCTAATGAAATGTACTTCAGAGAAGCAGTATTTTGTCAAATAAATACATAACAAACCTCATTCTGAATAATGTCCCTCATTTTGACTATAATTATGCTTGGTTTCAAAAGCAAAATTAAATCTCAGTCCCCTCCGAAGCGAACTTTGTGTTACCCTGTGCCCTGCGTCAGAAATGCCAAGTCGTGTTTACTTTTCATCCAGATTTTGTGAATATGAACATGTTGTTACAGGATTTACAGATGAATATTTAACTCAATAGAAAAATTATTTTAGAGCGCATTGTATTGGTATTACAACCAGATTATATTCTTGACGATGACTTTATTAAAATTACCTACAATTTCCTAATAACTTAAGCTGCATATGGTCTTCATTGAAAAAAGATGGATATTGTTTCAGGAAGCTTGTTACATTATATTCTTGACCTTTTGGTTGATGATCTTAAATCTTAATGTAATTTCAAACTGACAGAAATGTTGTCAGCGTAATACATGGATCTCTCATATACGCTGCATCCAGATTTACCAATTGTTTTCATTTTGCCCGTTTTTTATTGCCCCAAACCTGTTCTGTCTCCCTCTCTGTATGTACATACATACACGTATAAAATATTGTTAAAGTCTTATCTGTCTTAAATTTTTTTACATATTTGTTGAGGTATAATTTACATATGATAAAATTCATTGTAAATGTACAGTTGAAAGATGTTGTGTGTGTAATCACCATCACAATCAGGTTTTAGAACATTTCCATCACCCAAAAACATTGTCATACAAGTGTGTGGGTTAATTTTTTAAGAAACTTATGAATCATTTTCAAAGTGACTATAGTTTTATGTTCTAACTAGCAATGTAGGAGGGTTATAGTTTCTCCACATCTTTTTCACTGCTTATAGTCTGCCTTTATTATTATGGCCATTCTAGTGGACCACTCACATCCAAATTAATCTCATCCAAGTTAGATCATTTCTCTAGTGACATAAGATGCTGAGCATCTTCTGTGCTTATTGGCCATTTGTATATCTTCTTTGGAGAAGTGTCTATTCAGATCTTTTAATTCCTTCTTTTAATTGGGTTGCCTTGTTTTTATGAGTTATAAAAGATGTTCTGAATGCAAGTCCTTTATCAGATGGATCTTGCTTTTTTATCCCGTTTCACAATCTCTGCCATTTTGGTGGAGTGTTCATTTATACTTAATATTATTGATACATTTGAATTTATACCTGTCTTTTGGTATTTTTTTCCTCATAATTAAAGAGATCCCTCTGTTCCTCCTTTTCTACCTTCTTTTGCTTTAAATAATTGGAACTACTGGCTGGGAGCAGTGACTCACCTGTAATCCCAGCAGTTTAGGAGGCTGAGGTGGGCAGACCACTTGAGGCCAGGAGTTTGAGACAAGCCTGGCCAACATGATGAAACACCGTCTCTACCAAAAATACAAAAATTAGTTGTGCGTGGTGGTGCATGCCTGTAATTCCAGCTATTTGAGTAGCTGAGGCAGGAGAATCACTTGAACTTGGGAGGCAGAGGTTGCAGTGAGCTGAGATCATGCCAGTATACTCCAGCCTGGGTGACAGAGCAAGACACTGTCTCCAATAATAGTAATAATAATAATAATGGTTGGAACCACTGCTTTATACGATCTTAATGTCCTCAGTCTTTATCTGGGAATGTCTGGTCTTGCCTTGATTCTCTTTTTTTAAGGATAGTTTGCTGGATATAGAATTTGTGCCTGACAGTTTTTTCTTTGACTCTCTTTTAATGTCATCCCAGTGCACCCTGATTTCCATTACTTTTGGTGTGAAGTCAGCTGTTAATTATTGTTGGTCTCCTTTGTGTAATTGTTTTCCTCACTGCTTTTGGGCTTTTTTCTCTGGGCCTTGTCTTTTAAACAGTTTGACTAAGATGTTTTTAGGTGTGGATCTCATAGTGTTTATCCTACTTGGGTTTGTTGTTGTTAGTTTTTGTTTGTTTTAGCTTCTTGGATATATAATGTTTTTTATAAAATTTGAGAGATTTTTGGACATTATTTCTTCGTTACATTTTTCTGCCCTTTGCTCTTTCTTCTGTGGTTCGCCTTATGCAGTTGTTGGTACATTTCCTGTCACCCTGGTCTCAGGCTCTGTTAATTTTTTTCAGTCTTTTTCTCCCTCTATTTGTCAGGTTGCGTAATGTTGATTTTTCTTCAAGCTCACCGATAGGTCTGCCATCTCAAATCTACTTGCATTTTTTTGTTTCGTAAGTTGAATTTTTCAGCTCCCAGCTTTCCATTTGGTTCTTTCATAACTTTGTACCTCTTTATTGAGATTCTTTGTTCATTGAGTGTGTTTTCTTTAATATGATAAACAGATTTCCATTTATTTTTGAGCATGTTTATGAAGTCTTTGCTAAATCCAATACCTAAGGATACTCTGGCAGTTTCTCTTGAATACTTTTCTTCCTTAGTGACTTATTTTGTAACCAGAGTCCCGATAAAGCAATTTATTATTAAGAGTGAACCTAAAGAAGACTTAAACGTTTCATAGCTATTCACTCAGAACTATCAGAATGCCAGAATTTCACCTATTATCTATATCATTATTACTTTTAGTAACTGATACATATTTTATTGCTACATACTCTCTAGTATTTTTCATACTCATTTTAAAAGCAATTCTGCATTGTTTCAAGCCAGCTAGTTATAAGCATGTTTCTTAATGTAAGTGTGTAATATTTTAATAAAATGTGGTAGAATATAGATGTTTGGATTGGAAACATAACAGTACTGGACGTGAAGATTTGCAGAGCTGTTTTTTTGTTGGTTTTTTTTTTTTTTTGAGATGAAGTCTTGCTCTGTCGCCCAGGCTGGAGTGCGTTGGCATGATCTCAACTCACTGTAACCTTCTCCCAGGTTCAAGCAATTCTCATGCCTCAGCCTCCCAAACAGCTGGGATTCCAGGCACCCGCCACCATGCCTGGCTAATTTTTTTGTATTTTTAGTAGAGACGGGGTTTCACCATGTTTGCCAGGTTGGTCTTGAACTCCTGACCTCAGGTGATTTGTCTGCCTCAGCCTCCCAAAGTGCTGGGATTACAGGCATGAGCCACTGCACCTGGCCAGAGTTGATATCTTTGAAGTGAGGATTTTACTTATATGCAAATTCTTTTCTGTGAGAGGTGAATCCCTATTTTAGTCAGGAATATGATATTTATTCCTCTTTCACAACAGGAACTTCATATATATAAGTGCCGTGTGGTGTTCTGAACTATTTCAGTCTTGAATTAGCATGGTAATACATAATGTAGCTAATCTGCTATGAATTTGAGAATGCATTTTATGACAAATTTACAAAGCTGTCAGGGAGGATGGAAAGGTGCTTATTTCTCATATAAAACTGTCTTCAGAGAGCTTGATGTGAATCTTCTGCACACCTGCTTCCTCCTGGAAGCAGGTATTTAACTCATCCCCAGGAAATCAAGCCTGACAGAAATTCTGGTGAGCTGCTTGGCTACTGTGTTGAGACCTGTCTGCTCTCTTAGCATTTGTTTTGGCAAAGAATGTTTGAATGTTTACAGAGGACAGATGTTGGTCAAGTATGAGAGCTGTTGGTGGGAGGGAGAATCCATTTGGGATCCCATATGAAAAGGCCTGTTAAGGGGGTGAGCAGGCCTTAGAAGAGGGTAATCCAAAGTGAATCTGTGGATTCCTTAGGAGCTAAGAGGAAAGGCCAGAGTGGAGTGCATTCATTCAGTTCAAGGCAATTGCAGGTGAAAACAGCTGTGGGAACAGAAGTGTCCCTGTGAGAGCGTTCAAAGAAAGGCCACATCAAATACTCAAAATCATCTCACAACAGTATCAGCCAGATAAGAACCACCCTCTGCAGTTTTTGTTTTGTTTTGAGATGGAGTCTCGCTCTTTCGTCCAGGCTGAAGTGCTGTGATGCAATCTCAGCTCACTGCAACCTCTGC